ACGGTGCTAACCACCGAGACACCTTGCAGTGTTGTTTGAGCCGATCGTGAGACGAGATCTAAAGTCGGCAGAGTCATCACAAGACGAATATGAACGTCTGTGCAGAAGTCTGAGCCGATCTTAAGTAGAAGTAAAGACATTTTACTTGGAAACGTCAGCAGAATTCATCCAATCGTTCACATTTATACAAAATTTCATACCAGCTTTTATAAAAAGTGGTGGAACCTCCTCTGGATTCAGCTGCTTGCTTTTGTAATTCGGCTACAAAATGATTTCAGCATCACTCGTTCTAACAGACGAGTCACAAACATTTACATAGATACAGACAGTTTTCTCCATCTTCAACTTTTTACTTCTGTAGGTTTCTCTCCATCTGGTTCCACCCCTTCAAGTTCAACTCCGTTCTTGGCCTCCTGACTGGAGGTCTGGGACTCAACAATAGGAGGATGGTGGACTTCAACCATCAGCTCGTAGATCAGCGTTCCCAGCAGCGCCCCAACACATGGGGCCACGATGGGAACCCACCACCAGCCTCCTCCAGCACTGCACACACACAGTTATTAGAATTAGAATAAACTTCATGGGTTTTATTGTGAGTCAGTGTGGGGGAATAGGGTTAAAACTACTGACCTGAAAACATCCGCCCCCCAGCCGGCAATGTACGTGAACAACCGAGGTCCAAAATCCCTGGCCGGGTTCAGGGCGTAGCCGCAGTTGGAGCCCATGGCGACACCAATGACCATAACTAATGCTCCCACCAGGACCGGCTGGAGGCCGTCAGGGAGGGAAGTGTTCCTCTGGTCCCCCAGAGCCAGGACGCACAGCAGCAGGGCGGCCGTGCCTATCACCTGGAACATGCATGAGAACAGTAATGAAACCAGAAAGAACCAGGAGAACTTTATTATACCAGGGGAAACAATACAGTTCTTCCTGGATGGGTTCCAGTTTAGCTGTTAAACACCTCTGTGACAATAAATTTAACATCCACTACAGTCAAAATTCTGCTGTTTTTAAATAGTAGGTTAATCCAAGTTAAAAGAAAACCCCTCAACTGAGACAGTATGTTAATAATAAACTAAAACCAAGCAGGAATTATGACAAAGGAGCAAATGTTTTCTCTATTCTAATATCAACTGTTTCTCTTACGTGCTTTTATTTTTCTCATCCTTTGTCTTTTTTAGCTGTTTTAGTCAATCAGTTGGAACTTTTCTATAAATCTGTGTGCATTTAGTTGAATGTATTCATTTAATTACTTCAATTTGTATTTCTTTTTTATTTTTTATTTTATTTCTTGTACATTTGTCTGTAAAGCACTTTAAATATCATATTTGTGCACAATAGGGTGCTATATAAATGCTTGCTCTGAACCCCGAGCACTTTGAGCATTTTTTTATTACACTTTTACTCAGCTCATTTTTCACATTTTTCACTTCTATGGAAACAGCACAGCCGTGGTTATATGTAAAAAGAACTCAAAAATCTCTTTTCTACAGTATGTCACAGGTAAAATGCCACAAATCATAAAAAAAAAAAAAAAAAATGAAATTCCTTGAACAAAAAAATGAAAAAAATGAAAAAAAAAGAAATAAAAAGGTCAAAAATTTCCCCAAGGCCCAAAAGGGGAACCAAAAACTAAAAAAAAAAACCAAGAATCCAAAAAACGGAAAAAAAATATATTTGACTATTTAAATGTTTTATTTGTTTCCATACTTGTCTCCAACACAGTTCAACTGAAAACTGCATTTTTGTCGGGTGTCATGTTCTTAAGGTCAGATTCTTTAGTTATTTATGGGCTCTGGTTTCAGCAAATGGTTGATTTTTGGCTCATTTTTTGAACAAGATATGTCGAATTAAGTGATTGTGACGAACTGTTGTGATTTCAAGGTCAGGTTTGGTTGTTTTTCCTGTCTGAACAGCTCAAAAAACACAATTCTCTGTATTTTTATACAGTTTCTGGTTCTGATAAATGATGCCATTTTGAAATATTTCCAAGGATCACATGACTTTAAAACCTGCTGCTGGTGTTTTTTTTTATTTTTTATTTGTCAGCTTGTTGATGTGGATCTGCATAACGTTTCAGGACACAACCTGTCTGATGCCTGCTGATATCGCTGAACAAGTCTGTGCTTATCTTTTATCCTGATGATGACGACTGGACTTTGAATAATAAAAAAAAAAAAAAAAGGGAGTGACGGTGTCTGACCTGGTCCACGACGCCTCCCCACGTGCTGAGGTAGTCGGCTGGGTAGGTGGAGAATATTCCTGCTGTGGCCGTGGGACCCGTCACCGTCAGCTCACCGCCGCCGTATGCTTGGATGGCGTCTGCAGCAACACACAGGCATCATCAGACACAGAAAACACATTTAAAATTAACTCAGTACTTTAAATGCTAAAGCTCCAGTGTTGCACAAAAACAAAGCAAGAAAGGTGACACCATCCTAGAGCTTGAAAGAGCCTTAAATATGTATTATTAGTCCCCAACATTTGCTAAACTGCATGTATTTTAGAAGATTAGTTATCCAGTGCTTGCTTCATCTTCTTCCCTCTGACTAAATGCCACAGCTATCAAACTACTGTTGGTTTTTCTTATGTCTTATCCCTTATTATCAGCTGTCCTCTTCTACCTACAGTAGATTTATTCTGCTCCTGGAGTCCTTGGTTGACCCAGACTGCAGGCGTCGCTGCTCAACTCTCACCATAGTACTGCAGACCGACTGTGGCTGCAGCCAGAAAGGCTCCGACAACCTGGAAGAAGACGTAGAACGGCAGCTTTGTCCACGGATGTCTGCCCAGAACACACAAACTCAGAGACACGGCAGGGTTCAGATGGGCTCCTTGACAAAGACAAAAAAAAAAGTCAAGGCCGAAAAAAAAACACTTCATAATTTAAAATCATCCTGTAACTGACTTAAGAAAACATTTAAAAAACCAGAAGTTTACATCCACTGTACAAAAAGACATAAAACCTTTTTTTTCTCACCGTCTGACATTAAATCAGACTAAACTTTTCCTGTTTTAGGTCAGATAGGATTACCAACATTATTTCTATTTGCTAAATGCCAGAATTATAAGAGAATTTTTCAGAAAGTTTACATCCACTAAGATGCCTTCAAACTATTTGAAAAAGCCCAGATGATGATATAATGGCTTTGGAAGCTTCTGATAGGTTAATTGACAACATCTGAGTGAATTGGAGGCACACCTCAACACACTGCTTCCTTTAGTGATGACATGGGAAACTAAAGAGATCAGCTAAGATATCAGGAAGAGAACTGTGGACCTCCACCAGTCTGGTTCATCCTTGGGTACAACTTCCAGAAGCCTGAAGGTTCCACGTTCATCTGTGCAAACAGTCATATCAAGTATAACCACCATGGGAATGTCCAGCCATCATAGCACTCAGGAAGGAGACGGTTCTGTGTCCAGAGAGGAAGTGTTCTGGTTGAAATGTGCGTATCAACCCCAGAACAGAAGCTAAAGACCTTGTGAAGATGCTGCTGAAGCTGATCAGTGAGTCATTATCCACAGTGGAACCAGTCCTGTACCGACATGGGCTGGAAGGCTGCTCAGAGAGGAAGAAGACATCACTCCAGAAGAAACATAGAAAAGACAGATTACAGTTTGTAGATGCACACAGGGACAAAGAGCTTCATCAGTGGAGACATGTCCAGTGGTCTGATGGAGCTAAACCTGAACTGTTTGGCCTTAATGACCATCAGTGCATCTGGAGGAGAAGCTTGAGAACACCATCCCAACTGTGAAGCACGGGGGTGGCAGCATCATGCTGTGGGGCTGTTCTGCTGCAGGAGGGACTGGTGCACTTCACACAATAGATGGCATCATGAGGAAAGAACATGATGTGGAGATATTGAAGCAACATCTCCAGACATCAGCCAGGAAGTTAAAGCTTGGCCACTAATGGGTCTTCAGATGGACAATGACCCTCAGCATAGCACCAGATTAGCTACAGAGAGGCTTCAGGACAACAGAGTCAGTGTTGTGGAGTGGCCATCACAAAGCCCTGATCTCCATCCTGGAGAACATTAGTGGAGCAAGGAGACCAACAAACCTGACACACTTCCACCAGTTCTGTCAGGAGGAATGGGCCAGAACTCATCAGACTGTTGTGAGAAGCTTGTGGAAGGAAACCCAGAACGTTTGACCCAAAGTCATACAGTTTAAAGGCAACACTACCAAATACTGAGGAGATGGGTGGAAACTAATGACTTTGAAGAAAACAATAAAACATTCTCTCTTTCATTTTTCTGGCATTTAGCAAATAGAAATAATGTTGGTAATCCTAACTGACCTAAAACAGGAAAAGTTTAATCTGATTTAATGTCAGAAAGTGAGAAAAAAAAAGGGTTTTGTGTCTTTTCATACAGTGAATGTAAACTTCTGGTTTCGACTGTCTATATGGGAATATCTATAGTTTAATGGTTTACTGTTAAATGGCTGTTAAGTAACAAAACATCTTTAAGAGAAGCTGCAGATTAACGCTAACGTCATGTAACGGATAATGTCATAGATAACTTTACGCAGGGTGTGAAAGAGTAAAAAGTGATATGTTACTTCTTTTTTTACTCCAACACTGACTATTAGTGGTGGATGTAGCAGAGACTTCCTAATTCAACTTTTAAATATTTCCTGCAACTATTTTCAGACCCGTAAACATAAAATCAGTGGTGGTCCCTAAAAGATTTTATGTTAAGATTCAGGAAGAACTCTTTATAAACACAGTCCATCCCCATCATAGTAACTCTGTTCAGTCCTTTACCTGAGACTCCACGAGACACAAAGATCCCGAATGTGACTCCAAAAGCAAAGCCCAGATTGATGGACAGATAGTGGCCGTTCTTCTCGTGACTTGTGGTCACCTGGGCAGCAGAGCCACATCCAAACAGCTGCAGGTACACGAAGAGTTGCATTAACAAACCATACTGAGTGTAAAGAAGGTGAGCGGTAAAGGATTTATGTAAAGAAAAGCTGTGATGTATGTATTTGTGTGCTGACACAAACAACAACACAATCTCCTTTTTTATGAACTTCGTTTCCACGGAATCAGCTTTATGATTTGTGTCGTAAAAGATCATTGCTCTTGCAGGCGAGATAGTCGTTCCAGATAAAAACAACACGGCTGCACTCAGAGGAACATCGTTTTTACTCGGTTACTGTCACTTTTCTTCTATGTCTGCTCAGGCCAAAGTCCTCCAGAGTTACCCATTGAGCAGATTCACCGTCTGCTTTAAAACAGACACGTTAAAGGAAACTACTGGAGGTTAATGTTTCTGATCCAGTGAGAATGTGGGCCAACAGTTTGTCCAAAGTGCCTCCTGCCACTAACTACAGTGCAAATAATAAAGAAAGAGAGACTCTCACAATGAGGACGTAGACTCCCAGACACTCAGCCATGCACTCCCTGACCAGCTGGTTTCTGATCTGACATTTCCTCAGCAGCTTCTCCATCCTCCAGCTTTTCTGCGCTCCGTCCGGCCTCAGGTGAGCTTTCCCTGCTCTGATATCAGGCGGATCTGATCCGTCTGCCTGGCCGAGCACAGTTTGCCCTTTAATACCAGAGCTGTAGGCTGCGTCACACACTTTATGACGAGGTGCTGCTGCTTTGTGTGTCCTGAGGCTGAAACCACTGCATGTGTGAGGTTTGCTCTGATCTCAGCTGACTGGAAATGACTCTGATTGTTTCTCTCTATTGATTGGTTGATTCACTTCTAGGTGGTTTCATTTCAAATCATCTATTCTGCTTTTGCTCTGATTAAAGCTGAAGCTCCAGAACTCTACTTGGATCAGGCTGCTTAGTAATCTATTCAATTAGTTATGAAAGTTAAACGTAAATACACTTGTTTTGTTTTATTGTGACATGAAACTGATCCTTCTGCATCATCAGTTTTTTTGATGGGACTCGTCACAAAAGCTTCACTTATTTTCATTTCTCAATTCACTAACAATCAGAGAATATTGGCTCTATTTGTCCAATATGGCAGACTCTGAATTAATGTCACGATGGAAAGTAGCAGTGAGAATTACAGGCTTTTATTTTGAAAAGTTCCTAAAATAATATCAGTCAAGCATAATCTTGAATGTGCAAAGAAAAAAAATGTAAAAAAACTACAGTGGTTCAATGGGTGACTAAAAAATCAAATCAAATCTTGTAAAGCGTTGATATGTCACGTTAAAATTTCACAAATGTCATTTTAAATGTCTATAAAACAAGTTTCAAGCAAATCAGATGATCTGAGATGGAATTTCTCTTCTTCTCTGAGTCAAAAACTAGATTTGACTCAATGTCACACTTCAAGTCTTTTCACAAATTCAAGCACAGATGTGCGCTCTGTAACTTCTACAGATTCTTAAACTAACCTCATTGTCGGGGGGCAGCCTGCACCTCTCAAGGCCAGACACCGACTTATCTTTGTTTCCCTTTCTCCCATAAATCTGGATGTGGCTCCCACTAGAGGAGGATATAAGACTAAAGGTGTGAGAGGGGTCTTTAGAATCGATGCTGCTGCTCTGTTGGTGTCACTTCTCCTGATACCAGTAAACCTGATTTCAACCTCTGAGTCTCCGGTGTGTCTCTGTGTCGGGCTCCTCATCCTACATCAACCTCTTCCAGAATTTCCACAACACTCGTGGGCCACATAAAATGACGTGACAGTCCGGATTTGGATTTTGGACTTTGACATATGTGTTTGAGAGGAAGCAACAGCGTAGAGTTACATCTGAAGTAAATTAAGGCTGGAGGAGATTAATCAATAAGCAGAGAAGTGACTAAACAAGACAAAAAAAGGCCAACAACTGAGTAAATATATTAAGTTTTTATTTGGTTCATCACTCACTCACATCCATACAGGCTTGTCTAACAAGACAATACAAAAATAAAATGTGTAACTGTGAACTGTGTCTCAATTTGTCAAAACCAGCAGTCGTCAGGATTGGCAGCTTCTAGCCTACGTGGTCATTTAAACATCACAGCTTTAACCTCCAACAAGCCGGCGACCCCATATCCAACATGTTCACTTTGGCAAATCAAGATCACGCAGCAGTCCGTCCACGTACAGGTACATCCCATAAACACGCAGCTCTAGAGGAACACAGCAGCTACAGGTCACCTGCCCACAGAGGACGCTTCGCTTTACACTTTATTTAAAGCCGCCAAAGAACTTGGAGAACAAGGAGTCGTCATCCCGCATGTCTGAAAAGCGATGTGAGTCACCTGGAATAGGAACAGGAATAAATGCATCAGAGCTACCACGTCTGTTAAAAGACACAGAGAATATTCTCATTTCTTTTGCCAGAGAGAGAACATCAGCTGACCTGGTAACACGGGTCTGGTTTGATGGTCTGGGCCCTCCAGGATCCCAGGACCTCCTGAGCGAGTCACTGTGGTCTCCTCGTTGCCTTTTCCATCTCTGACCGTCCGCCGCTCTTCCACAGTCTGAAGAAACAAACAAACAAACAAACAAAAAAATCATATTATTCACAATTGAGTGTGAACATAACTATTGATAAACGGCTATTCAAAACACTAGTGTTTTATGGGTGTAAGGTCCTACTAGGACATGTCTATCAGGCCCCGTAAGAATCACCATCATGCTCTAAATATCAGACAACACTGGGCTTTTTAATGGTCCTTCAAATCCAATATTATGTGTCTGCAGTTGTAGGACCACGTTCTGGGACCCTTGTTTTTCATGACAACCCTCCGACTGAATTATTTGATCACTAACGTACGCTCAGACTTCACCCAGGTAAATCTTTCTGCCCAAGTGCTTATAGTTTTGAAGGTTTATTACATTCCAAATAGTCATTTTCTAACCAATAAGTGCCAGTTTTGACGGTTTATTCAACCCAAAATACTGTTTCCTGTTCTGCAAATTAGCTTGGCTGCTAAGAATTGAATGTTGATCGAACTGTGTAAATAATTATGTCATCATCAGGTCAAATAATCATGGAATCATATGCTAAGGCCCCCTGTAGCAGCTAGATCTCAACCAGAACCCTCTTTTCCAAGCTATGAATGCACTTGCTGTCCAACTGAAGATATCACAATTGTTTTTAATGTTAAACTTGATTCACATTCAGTATCCACACGACCCATCTGGGCCAGAAATCCTGTCCGTGCGTCAACACATGCTAGATATCTAAATCAGTAGGCGTTGCTGTACTGAAGAGCAACAGTCGTAGCAGTGTGTGTATGATGCTGCATTCACACGCTACTCCTGAAATGCCCTGTAAAAGCAGATTTACAAAAAGCTAATAAAAAGACTCACCCCGTCAGGTTTCACCACCTTCGTCACCGTGACCGACTGGAAGAACGACCGGATCCGGGGCTGGCTCGGTGCCTGACCAGCAGGTGGCGTCAGAATCTGATCCAGGCCACCAGTGGACACTGCAGAGTCCAGATCTGGAGAGGATGAAGGTGGAAAACTAGTCAGACACGAGGCGGAAATCACATCAGCTTTTTTGTTGTAATGGAAGGAAAACAAACCCCCACCTCTGTCTTCTTTGAGCTCATCGTCTGGAGTTTTCTGTGGCCCCTGTCTCCAAATATCGTTGAACTATTAAGACATGACAGGAAAAGAAAGAAAGTTGGTACTGAACAGTGAACAGTCACGCTTCAGAAACAAAGGAGTGAACGTCTTACTTTGGAAAAAGGGGTCCAGCCATGAAATGGCAAGCGGGGCGTTTCTGGAGACTCGTACGGCGGCTGGCCATCACTGTGAGGCTCTCTGGTCGGTCCTCGAGCGTCGCTATCAGGGGATCTGAGCATAAAGTCTCTCAGGGGGTTTCCACTGGATCTGCCTCCACCTGCTTCTGCTCTGTCCTGAGGTGGAGGTGGCATGATGCTAGGAGCACCTGAAATGAACATGGAGGCTGAAAAGTGCTGCAACTAATGATTATATTCATTGTCTGGTTAATCTGTTCTAGATTAACTGATCATTATCTGGGTTAGAAAACATTTAAAAAAGGTGAAGAACGCCTATTAAAGCCAGAGGTTGTGTGTGTTTTGTACAAAAGTTAAAGATATTCAGTTTACAAGAAAACATTTACATTTAAAAATCTGGAATCTGAGAATTTAATTGTTTATTCTGACGAATTGATTAGCAAAATAGTTAGCGACTGATTTAACAGTTGACAGATTAAGTAATCATCAAACTGTTGCAGCTCTTCACCACAACGAGATAAAACGGGTCACAGAGCAGCATTCAGCTCATGTCTTCTGCTTCAAGGCCTCCTAGAAGATGAAAGCATCCCTGCACATATTCATTTTCATAACATTATAAGTCATCGCCTTTGTACCAAAGTGTCCGGCCTCCGGCTGTCCGTCCCAGCGGCCCAGTTGGGAGAATATCTCCTCCATCTCTCTGAAGACGTGGCCAAACACTGGAGGCTCCTGGATCCTCATCCCGTCTGGGCCAAAGCTGAAGCCAAACCTCCAGGCGCTGTCGAAGGGGTCCTGCTGGTCCCCCCTGAACCCATCGTACTGAAACCCGTCTTCATCCTCATCGTCGTCATCATCGTCATGCGTCATGGCGTCGAAGAAGGGGTCCCTGACAGATAAAGAAAATGTTAATAAAGTCCTGCCTTGGCTTGTCCACCAATATCCTAACAGGCTAACAGCTACGTTAATAGACCTTAAAGCACTCAATCGTATTAATCCCCGGATCGCTTAAAGCCTAAATAAACAGCAGCCATCTCAGCTGAGGGACCCCTGCGGTTCTCCTGGCAGAAAAACACTAATCTTGTCCTTGATGGAGCTGCTTCATTATCTAACTTTCTCACCTGCCTGCAGAGCTGGAGGCACCAAGTTCTGATGAAGCTGAAGACCAGAAAGGAAACTTACAGGGCTGATTGACTGATTCTCCATTTCTTTCAACATTTTAATGATATAAACTTTTTGGAGACCCACTTTCAAGTTTGTGAAACCTTTATTCTACTTGTGGAAATGCAAAAAAAAAAAAAAAGGAGGTTTCTGTGATTGTTTAGCATGTGGACCACATGAAACCAAGTCTAGATGGAAAACCACTGCGTATAAACACATGAAACCTGCACTAGAGTGTCTAAGAACTCTATAAAAGACAGTCTCTGATTTGTAAAACCTTAAATCTACTTGTGAAGATGCAAAAAAAAGGAGATTTCACTGCTGTTTCTTTACATGTAGACCACATTAGACCTGATCCACATTTGAAACCACTATATATAAACAGATGGAAGCTGTACTACATGACCCCAGAGAGGCTGAAGATGCTTTAAAACACAGTCTCTGATGTGTGAGACCTTTATTCTAATTGTAAAAATGCAGAAAAGAAAAATTCATGTTGCTTTTTCCACATGCAGACCCCATTAGACCAGGTCTAGATCAAAACCCACTACGCTAAGTTCGGTCTGATCTGGACTAGATCCTTCCAGAGAGGCTACAGATTCTCTAGTTAAACCTTTACTTTACTTAAAATGACACACTTTGCTGTTTTAGATCCCATGAGACCAGGTCTAGATCTAAAACCAGATCTTACAAACCCCTCCGTCACGACCCAGTCCAGCTCCGACCGGTCTAACTTTACTGGTTCCGGACAGAGACCTGGTCTAATGTGGACCAGAAGCTGAGAACCGTTAGCTAACTCCTGCTAGCTTAGCCCGCTAACAGCTGTCTGACGTTGCCGACACAAACTCACCTCCGGCCGCGGTACTGGCCTCCAGGGACCCCGAAGAACCCGCGAAACAAGTCAAAGACGCTCATTTAGCAGCAGCTCCGGTAGAAAACTGAACCATAACTTGAATTACACCTGCAGGAGACACCCACAGTGGAGGGGAGCGGTTGTCAACAGAGCCGTAAAGTGTTCTGGATAGTTCGATGGTGACGCAACCTGTCGTAATGTTACCGTAAACAACAGACACAACGCGCAACCGCAATTATCACTCGGAACCAGGAGTGTATTTTACCTGAACTTGCTAAACAGCCATCTTGGTTGTTTTGCAGAAAAAGTTTGCACATACAGAACAGGGTACGTTGTTTTTGAGAAAATTAAACAATATTATTGAGTTGTCAAAATTACTTGCACGATACAACCAACTGACTAGAATAAAGTACTGCTACACGCTCAACTCTGCGACATATAAATCAGCGATTGGTTATTCTGATGCCCAATTTGTTGTTTGTTTCAATTGTTTTGGCTTTAACATGATCAATTTTGTAGGGTCTCAACCTCAAATATTAATCCATGTTAGCCAGGTAAATTATTGGGATACATAATATCATAGTCAGCTAAACTCTTAAACTTAATATTTGAAATTAATCGGGTTAATTAGATTTTCATATAAAGCTGTAGTGCTTTAATCTAAAATTTTCCTCTGAAACGCAGTGGAGTGTACGTATATATCAATATGAAAGAGAAATATTTCAGTCAGGTAGAACTATTTGGGTAACTAGTGAGTTAGGGATGTCGAGATACATATTTGATAGAAAAATGAAAATTCTTTTGTAAACGTGTCAGAAAAGGGCTGCAAGGTGGAGCAGTGCTTAGCAAGAAGGTCGCCGGTTCGTGTCCCGGTGAGGTCACGCGGGATCTTTCTGCGTGGAATCTCCATGTTCTCCTCGTGCAGCGTGGGTTCTCCGGCTTCCTCCCACAGTCCAGAAACATGCTGAGGTTAATTGGTGATTCTAAATTGTCCGTAGGTGTGAATGTTTGTGTGCTTGGTTGTCTGTCTCCAAGTGTAGCCCTGTGATAGACTGGTGACCTGTCCAGGTGAACCTGCCTTCACCCTGAGTCAGCTGGGATAGACTCCAGTGAGGATTAAGCGGTTTGTAGATAACGGATGGATGGATGGACTTCAGTCAGGTATAACTATCTGGGTAACTAGTGACTTAATGATGTCAAGATATGTATTTGGCAGAAAAGTAACAATTCTTTAGTAAGAGTCAGCAGTTAGGCGTCATAATAACCCTAAAATGAATCTAAATCATGTAAACAAAGAAGAAATGTGTCTGCAGAAGTTGTGTTTGGTGTACAATTTGGTGCTGCTGATCCACTGATGTATACCAGATGCTTTCAGTCGAGCCAAACACTTGATGACCGAAGACTCTTCTCGCAGTTCGTCAATCGATTTCTCTGCTGATATCAAGTGTCGGCGATTTATCAAACTGTCACACGAATTGACAGAAACAAACCAGAGCCCGCCGTCGAACCGCTGGAAGGAGAGACGCTGTTGTATTTACAAGCCACATGAGAAATATAGTTTCTTAAAAGACATTCACATCCAAAATGATGAAAATGTCTTTTTCTTGTTTATTTACTTAATATTTATATATTTTTACAAAATAAAAAAAATATATGAAACAAAAAAAAAAAAAGCTAACAAGTCTGCAAGGATCGGAGGAAGGAAAAGGAGAAAGCCATCGAACAAACAGGGACTACAGTACTTGTGTTTTTTTATATATGTACAAGACAAGTTTATCCATTTAAATCGTTGTTTTTTTTTGTTGTTTTTTTTTTAAAACGCACAGTACAAAAAGAAAAAATAAATCACTGACAAAAAAAACCAAACAAACAAAAAAAAAAAAACCCATAGTACAATTCTGTCCATCAGGATTCAACGCTGCAGATTTCCTCACAATGTCAGGGGACAGGTGGTGGAGCCGGGAGCAGGTGGGGGGGCCTCGGAAACTAAATAAAACACACTGGAAGGCAGATTGGGTGTGTATTGGCCTTGGAAATCATTCTCAACATCTTTCAAAAACAAACAAAATAAACAGGTGGGACCTTATGCAACATAACTCATGGGAACAGATACTGTACAAGCGCTGGATAATGAAAAAAAAACTCCTGTGCTAGGCGAAAAAACAAAGCACAGTACACAACCACGGCCCCCGTGTGTACAAACATGCACGCAGTCACATGACAAACACACCTTTTTTTTTTTTCCTCACAGTCCAAGCCAGTGAGCTCGCTTATATGTCTTTATATATAATATATCTATATTTGGTAAAAAATAAACTTCACAACTCTACCAATTTAGAGAATTGTTTCTTCAAACTTAAAATGACATAAAAAAAAAAAAAAAAGAAAACATTCAACGGCAAATTATTGTGTTTGGATATTTAGTGTGGGAGGGAAGAGCGTCCACCCGACTCTAGGAGTGGACAGTAGAGGGTGAGAAATACAAAACCAGCCTGTCCCCCCCACCTTCACATATACTTCATTCCTCCCCTTCAGCAAGAACAAAACAAAACAAAAAAAAAAAAAAAAAGGGGGAAAAAGACAAAAATAAAAAGGAAAAAGGAAAAAGAAGAAGACCATACAGGAAATGTTCATTCTTTTAGAAAACAGTTCTATGTTACATACAAGTGAAAGAAAAGGGGGGCGGGGCGGGGGGATTAACACGATACAAATTCCCAACACTCAATATTTCACCTGTTGACGGTGGGTTTCTATAACCATTTAGCTCCGGCATCCCCTCACGGCTGAGCCCCTCCTGTCCCTCCCACCCGTCCATGCATCACGACAGTGCTCGTTCTCTCGGCACAGCACCTCCTCCGACCGGAGCCGGAGCTGCAGGAGTGCTGGGCCCAGAGACTGGGGGAGGGAAACCTCTGCAGGAGGAAGAGGGAGTTTATACGTGGAGACCGTTTTGGCGGAGGGAGCGCTGAGCCCCCTCCCAGCTCGCCGACGCCGCTGACGGAGGGGAGGGAGGGAGGGAGGGAGGGAGGGGGGCCCGGCGGTGGGTGTTAGTTCGCCCCCCAGTTGTAGCTGTTGTACGCCGACTTGTTGATCTGAGACTTCTGCTGAATGGAGGCGTTCTGGCTGCGCTGTCCAGTGCCGCTCTGTGGAGAGAGCAGAGAGGACAGAGCTGGTCTGAGTGCTGACGCTTGTTTACTCCGGTACGGTGACACCGTGAATCAATACACACTTCATCTGCCAAGGACAGCTTCAGGAGGCGTTTCAGGAGGTTCAAATGGAGCTACTTGTCACATAAGTGCACATCTACACTAACCTACATCTACACACACACACATATAAATTACCGTAATTTCCGGACTATTGAGGCACCTGAATATAAGCTGCAGCCACTAACTTAAAAAAAGAGTTTTATACATACACAGGCTGCACTTGTCTGTAACAGACACAAATACATAAATGCTTTTTTCCCAACAGTTCCTGTAACACAGCTGGTTAAGGAAATACAAACTACAGCAGCCTACCAGGAAAAGTCATTGATCACTATCTTCATCTTCCTCCTGCACTAAAACCACTAAAGTCGTCTTCTTCAGCCTCAGAATTACTTCGTCACACACTTCCTCAGTCTCTCTTTCGTTGTCGCTCTCAATGTCACTTACGTCTTAAGGCGAATTCGTAAAAATCTACAAATTAGCCGCAGCGTTCAAAGCGTGTGAAAAAAGTAGTGGCTCATAGTCCGGACATTACGGTAAAAATAAATGGACTCGTGCAACACAAGCACACACAATGCTTTTATCCTTTTAGTTGTTTTAACCTGAACTGAAAAGCCAAACAGGTGCTACAAATTAGCTTCAGCTACATAACTTATATACTCCAATTACACGACTGCTTTCTATCCAGCAGTGTTTATCTATTCTTCCTTCATTAACACTCTGAACCTCAAAACCTGCCCGAGGGTTTAAAAAGCACGCTGTCTTTAAAGAGATCACCAACATCACCCTGTAAAAAGGTAAAAAGGATAGCAAAATAAAAGGGCATCATGTCTACCTGTCCATCTTGCTGCAGGTGGTGATGCAGAATCTGCGAGTGGGGCTGTTGGTGCGGTGCCAGGATGTGCATGAAGGGGGCTGGAGCGTAGCCGGCGGCCGCCGGGGGGTTGATGGGCCCCCCGCTGCCCAGCGCCGAGGGCAGGCTGAAGGAAGCGGCCGGCGTCCCAGCGTGGAAACCCTGCTTCTCAAACGACTGAGGAAGGAAGCGAGAATGGTTCTATTTTTTGCGAATCGTCAAATGTGATGCTATTTTTTAATCTTAGAGGAATTTCAGCACATGCACGGAGAGAAGGAGGGGCTTTAAATTCTGTAATTACCTGCGTCTTTGTGTAAACAGACCCTGAAATATCTGGTACTCCCGTGTTGCTTGACGTCACAGAGACTCCTGCAGAGACAGAGGAAACACGACAAACTCACTCCAGAAGCTGCTGAACCACCGTGTCAGGGGAGCACCCACCAAACCAACCACAACCAGCCACGTGTTCAGATTCTAACCTCCACAACCACTACTGGGTGAGTTCATCATTTATTTAAGAGGAAAACAAAATCAAATGAAAAACAAGAACACTGGGAAATTCCAGGCAGGAGCATCTATGTCAGGTCATAGATGGTTTCGGTAGAATTTCCCGTCGGTGAGGACAGAAGAGAGAGATGAGGAGGGATGAGGTTAACGAGGAGGAGGAGGAGGAGGAAGGACGACAGAGAGATGGTGTAGCAGCGTATCAGCTCCAGTCAGCCACGGTGGGTTCAGTCTGACTGTATCTGGTGGCTACTGCTCCGATTGTTCTGGCACACACTGACCCCCTGTATCGCCACGGAGACGCAGAACAGGGTCAACTGGTGTGTCAAACAGGACAACACAGCAAGACTTTCAACAGGTGTTAGTGCACTCAGGTCCCTACATGTTGGAGTAAATTAATCTAAAACCTGCGAGGAAGACGATCATATCAAACTGATAGAACTTTTTTTTTATGCAAACGACCAAAACGAGTGCACAGACGTCAAATCAATAATTATTTTTTCTTCCAGTGGTTGCATTGCAATGTATTTTGAGAGTGTTTGTGTAAGACTTACATCCCCTTTAGACGTGGAATATGCAGCGTTTCTTGCTTTATTTCAGAGCAGCAATGATTAACCGATAAGCCAACAAACTGAAAAACAATGAGACATTACCGTAAATTCCGGACTATAAGCCGCTACTTTTTCCACACTGCGGCTTAAACAACGATGCGGCTAACTTGTGGATTTTTACGAATTTACCTCGAGACAAAAGTGACGTTGAGAAAGAAAAGAGCAACTGAGGAAGTGTGTGACGAAGTGATTCTGAGGCTGAAGAAGACAACTTTAGTGGTTTTAGTGTGCAGGAGGAAGCCGTGTTACAGGCACTGTTCAGAAAAAAGCATTTACGGTACGTATGTGTGTATGTTACCGGTACGTATTTAAGTAAAAGTTAAAAATCTTTCTGTGTAAATATCTCATGCTACAACGTGGACACCTGCAGCTTAGAGACAAGTGCGGCCTGTATATGTACAAAATTAGTTTTCTTTATAAAGTTAGTGGGTGCGGCTTATATTCAGGTGCCTCAGTGGTCAATAGTCCAGAATTTACGGTACTCAGATGATGATAAACACATTCACACAGATATGCGCTTTTGTGGCTTTTCTTTGCTTTATGTGAAAAAAAAGTATATTTTTGGATACTAGAGAGCAAAAAAGAGGATTTCTGAAGACACTACTTGAACTTTTTATCTTTTAGCCTTTTACTATTATGTTTTGTTTGTGTATTGGATTTTTTTTAATGCATGTATTCCTTTTAATTGTATTTTTGTTCTGTGCTGCCTCTTGGCCAGGTCGTTAGTGTAAATGAGAATTTGTTCTCAATTAACTTGTCTGGTTAAAGAAAGGAAAAATAAATAACAAAAAAACTCGAGGACACTTGTGAAATTTTCACCATTTTCCAAAAATTTAGCTGACTAAATTTCTTTTTAAACAAAAACAAACAGATAAAACCTTAATCCAAACTGTCATCATTTATCTGTTAAGGTGACTTTACTTACTTTTCTTTATGCTTGTGTGAGATTTGCCATCTGAAGCTGTGGCGCTGCTCAAGTGAGGTTGAAAGTAATGACTAAGAAGAGTCGTGTTTTTTCCACAGACAGCACATAATTAATGAAGCCCGTCAGCTGGAGAGACGCTGATTTCTACGTTCCACTGTTATTATGACAGCATTCAATTTAAACCTGCGTCAAGTTTTACAGAAACGTGACAAACCGGTGACACTGACGAGGTGCACATTTTAAAGCAGCTGAAGAGAAGCGCCGCCATGTTTTACGGTCACAAGGAAAGAAGAAAACGTTCGGTGTTGAATTATTTTTTCTCTACCACAGAATGTGATCCTGCGAGATGTCAGACGTCCCGGCTGACAATGCGGTTGGTGAAGGTACTGGATTAATGAAACGGGTTGACCCCGCGTCCTTCACTCGTCTGGCTCGGCGCCTATTCTCTGTAACTCTAATGAGATTAGTCACAAAAATGCAACACTCTAATGCTACTGACGATCAAACCGCTCAGCACACCTTCGCAAGGCTAATTCGTTTTCATTCCAGGTGTAGCTCAGCGCACACCAGCACATCACTGAAGTCACACACACTCTTTTAGAGCACAGCATAGTTTTGTATTGCAGACATGTCGTTGCCCTTTCCCTCCTGGGTTTTTAACCTACGTTACTCACAAGACAGCAAACTCTGGAGACGGACATACCAGCAATGACAGGATGAGTGAAGAGCAAGCAACACTGAGGAGAAATGGGACAGCATCAACCAGAGTAACCCATCATCCGTTGGCAGCAGCTGTGATCGCTGTGAACTGCCACCTTTTTGACTATGAACCTGATAATTACGCTGCTGTCTGAAGTATGAGAGCCAGATCGGACTGATGATGAGTTACTCTGGGAGGAAACAGGTAACAGAAAGAATGGCAAACAAGGCTTGTAGGAAATGCAGGCTGCACTGATCTAAAAGCTCATGTAGTGTGACGGGTCTTCCCACAGGCGCAGCTCATCAGCGATGAGGCAAAGGGACGAGAGCAAAGAGGGGGAGAAGGATGGCTGGTGACACAAGGAGGAAGACGGGAGGGACAGGGTTGTTGTTTTTTTTTTTCTTTTTGTTTTAATCTGGCACATGGCGGCACTCACCGACTCCAGGCCCGGTGACAGAGCTGGCTGGCTTGTTTTGTGCAGAAGCGGCAGCGGCCACGGCAGTGCCGTATCCGCCCTTACAGAAATCCCCACTCCCTGAAGCCTGGCCCACATCCTCATAGCCTGCAACAGTCAGACACACAGCCGCAGCCCACAGCGTTAGACACACCAGGCAGGGGACGCAGACCTGCCTCAGGTAGCATTTGCAAATAATTCATGGCGTTTGTTTGAAATTGCACCACATGGACAGATTTCGCCAAACCGCGACAATACGGACGGTGTCAAGTCTTCTCCCCGGCAATTATCTGAACTTTGACACCAACAGCATTGTCTGTGTGGCAAAGCCTGTCCGTCCGGTCCAACAGGCAGATCAGAATCAACGCCCACGTCATTTGCAAGTACTATCTGACCCAAGTCTGAGGGGAGGAGGTGAGGGAGGTGAGGGGACAGGCAGGGTGTGTGTGTGGGAGGGGGTGGAGAGTGAGCTCGAGTCGGGTGATGGCAGAAAGCAGCAGATGGTGCAGCTTAGAACAAATAGGTGTCGCACATGTCGTGACCAAAAGGTGGATTCTGAGTGATGGATAAAGTATAAAAAATAAAACACAGCATTACTGAAAAAGAAAAAAAACAAAAACAAAAAGAATATACAGTGATGGCAATAGAAACCAGAAGGCCACTGAGAAAATGTGAAACTGCTGAAGAAATATGGGCACAAACGAGAGTAACATCAAGAAATATGGGAGGATGATCGTTTTCAATGTGCTCAGGATAAAAGTGTGTGCAGGAGTTGTGGTCGGTGGTAAAGCCCCGGGGCAAATCCACTCTCTGAAATGAGCAAAGCAAGCCATGGAAGACAGCAGAAATAAGCTAAGCCCTCTGTTTGAAGACTGGTACAGCTAGGTGCCACTGCTCAAGCCCCTTTCCATTCAATAGCAATCCCACACATGTTATCTTGAGAAGTCTTGAACAAAAAGGACATTGGATGTTTTCTTGTTTTATCAAACACATGAATAACTGAGGTGTGCTCCTTGTGTGTACAGAACAAGATGCATTTCTACTGATCGGACAGAGCTAACCAGGCTCACGGTCAGTTTGAAAACATTTTAGCTGACTTCAACAATACAAGTAGGAATCAGCAGACAGGACTGTTTCATAAACCACAAACAACTGTCTTGACACAAGCATAACAAATGCCATTACACAAGCACCGTGTTTATGCTTGCAGATGCTGCAGCGCTCGAATGAGATATGCACTCCACACCGATAGGAAATCAATGGGCTCATTGTAAGAATCAGCACAGAGTTATTGGTATGCAAGTATATAGAGCAGGACCTGCATGACCCTTCTAAACATGCCGTTTCAACATTGTTTAGTGCCTCACCAGTGCTGTATCCATGGGAACCGTAGCCACTAGCCTGCTGGAAGGGGGTGGCTGATGCGTTGACGCCGACATTCACACCGTGCTGCTTTGACGAGGTAGGAGCCACCTGGACAAAAGCGAAACCGCGTAATGTAATCAAGTCGGCAAGGAGGGGGGAAGAAAAGTGCACAAACAGTAACTAAAATTTAGTTCTGTTGTCGCTTAGTTTTTATGAAGCACATTTAAATCTCATCTTATGTTGCCACCAGAGGAAAGGTCAAATCAGCTCCACCTCTGTAGCATGAAAACATCTGGACATATTTGGTAGTCCCCGGTACAATCCTGATTCTGTTCAAACCCACTTTGTTTGGGAGGTTTCTGTTCCATACGAGAAGACATTATAAACAAAGGTTCGAGCTAGCATGTAGAGATGAACGTTTTCTCACCGGAAACACAGCAGGTCCGTACTGGAAGGTATTGGGCAGGCCCGGCATGCCAGTGTAGTATGGGAGGCTCGTGTAGCTGTAGCCAGGCGGCAGCGCGGGGTTGAGGAAGGGCTGCTGCGTGGTGTGATGCGTCTGGGTCTGGTTCTGTTGCGTCTGAGCTAACGTGGTGGCTGGAGCTGGGGATGACGCGTCGCCTCGACCGAACTTCGACAAGTCGCCTGAAAACGTGGGAGGAGGAGGACGACAGGAGTGAGAAATTACACTCAGCAGAAATAAAGAACATAGATAAAGAGCGTCCATATAGAACAAACATCACGGTGGCCTGTTGCTCCATATCTAAAAGGATGTCGAGCAGGTCATGTTTTGCACGGAGCATTCTCAACAATCATTATCGTGGCTTATCGTCATTCCACCGCCGTCGGTCCTTGTGACTGGACATGCACTCCTCGGCTCTGACGACAGTAAACACTCAAAGCAATGGACACTGAATGCAACTCCAGCCTACAATTCAGGGTTTACTGCTCTCAAAGTGACACTTCTGAATATTCCTTATTTAGGGATGTTGGACATGGGTATCACTATGATTTTTACAGCTTTACTATTCCTACTGATGCTGCCTAATCTGGTACTTTTAACAATTATCCTCGTTATTTTTATTTTTTTAAAATTTCTAAATAGGACAAAAAAGAAAAAAAAAAAAAGATCAGAATTGTGTTTTTTTTCCTGCAGGTTTTTTCTTTGACAGTTTTCCCACTATGCCGTATTAACAGCTTCACTTCAGCCAAACAATCGCCTGGTTAATGGTTAACGTAGCTAACTGGGTGTGAGGGCTCCAGCAAAGATAACATAAAAGAGAGAAGCAGCTGCGAGCCAGGCAATGGAAAACGTCGAATTTCTCTGCCTGTATGGTGAACTTCTGGATGTTTCAACTGACTGATTTCTACTTTTACTTGTTGTATATGTGACAACAAGCGTCGTCAGCCTCGACTCTAGCAGAGTTTAAGACTTAGACTGTCGTGGCACAAAAACACAATCATGAATCTGGCAACGATAGGTCATTGCTTGGTTACCAGAGTACACAGAACTGAAACTTGTGAGGCAGTAACTTGTCAATAAGTACTGTATATAAACAGTTTAATTTAAGCACACAACCAGACTATTGCTGCTATTGTCACTAAACTGCAGAGTGTCAGATCTGTACAACCACCGACCGATCTCTCTTTTGAATTATGAAACATGAACATACATCAGACTAATTAGCAACGGAGATAATGTGCAAGATAAAGTTTATGTAGCAACAATGAATAGGAATCTATTTTTTTAATTTCTCCAGCAGCAAAACCACTAATGGTGGAGCGTATTGATCCTCCAGTCTTCAATAATTTAGTACTCGGGCCCCGTTTAATACCTGGTTCTGGTACCCTGTTCACGAGTTAAATGTCTTCAAGCTTATTACCCTACCACATTTTTCTGATGATTATCATTTAAAATTTGGTCATTTTAAACAGACTGAATTGTTAAACTGTGGCTCACCAGAGTAAGGGTTGCTCGTCAGGCTGCCCTCTCTGCCAGTCAGTGCTGTTGTGGGAGTTGCAAAAGGGATGCTGTAATAATCCTGGAAGAGATAAACAATGTAAGTAAAAAAAAAAGCCACGAGGTAATGAAGTTTACACAAAACAAAAAAATCTAACTCACCAGGGGTATTCTCGTCTGCAGCATCTGTAGGTCATCGTAGCCGTACACCTGAGGCTGAGGGTCAGTGAGACAAGCGTCAGTAAACCATAATATCTGTAATATAACATCTGGCAAAGCTCACATTATATAAACTTGATTTTGGCCGGAACTTACAGGGTAGGCATGCAGTAGTCCAGGGGCCATGATGTATGGGTTGGGCAGTAGAGGGGGCACTCCAGGTGGCAGGTTTGGAGGTGCTTTCCCTGTATGCACAAAGCCACGTATAACATAAATTCACTGCCCAACAACCCTATTCTTAACCTGGTACACTGAACATACATTCTTAAATATGCATTACAGTCTCACTTCTACACGAAAAGGATTGTACCACATTTCAAGCAGGAAGGACGGATCTATTGCATCGAGCTAAGTGTTACAAATTTCTCCCTGAGCTGCATCAATAAATGACAAGAAGACCGCATTACATCATGTGACAAGCCGGCAGAGGGAGCAGAGACGAAAACAGTTTCACTGCGTTGGTGCGTGTGACGGCAAAAAAAAAAAAAAGCACTTCAGAGGAACAACCAAACAGAGCAAGATGAGTCAGATCATGGAAACCAAACCAGTGATGCCACGGAAATAAGAAAAAAAAAAAATCATCCAACCCCAGACAAAACATTGCACCCATGCCAGATAGTCTCACTCGGTTAACAGTATTTCCAATCTGAAGGTAATTACAGCCAAAACTAACTTTCCAAGCAATCCTTCACCACAGTTACATCACCGCAGAGTAATGTGGCAAACATACATGAACATCTGCTCTTTGATCACAAAATATCCCCAAAACTTATTAAGTTATACAGACGTCCATAAGCACCAAGTTCTCATGAAAAGCACAAGTCAAACATCAATCATTACAGTGCAAAAATGAGGGATTAAAAACAGTCCTCGCACCTACTTAATGCAATTATATTTTGCTGTTATACCTGGTGTGTAGTTTCTGTGACGAATAACAGCTGGGGCAGAATGTAAACATATTAATAATTAACTCACTGGCAGCGCATTGACCACACAGTTTAATCCTCTCAACAGAAAACACACCAGCAGGTTTAGGGAGGAAAAAAAAAAAACAAAGCTTGCCAAAATTGCATCATTCCTTAAAGCCAGGAACTGCAAAAACAGACAGATGATGGATTTTGAACTTTCTGACAGTCCTTGAAACACCCATTTATGACGTGCTGATGGAAAATGTAACCATGTCTCAGCTCAAATAGCAAATTTAATTAAAATTCTACATGTATTAAAAGTTGGCAAAAAATAAAGCATTTGCAGGAACCAGAATCTGTTAAAAAAGTTTTAAAAACTCTTGGGCGCAACCATGAAACCATTAGTGACTCAGCTGTGACTGGTCACGTCACAGTTTAGGGACTTTCTGGCTAAACTGCAGACTGTGTTTACACATGTTTGTATGCATGTACAGTCACCATTCCCCCCCCCCCCCCAATATTGCTAACACCTGTGGGAACTTGGGAAACTGTTGCACGAGTTGATTCCAGGATATGTTTGTGCTTGTGCTGACTAACCTGAGGATGCTGCAGAGCTGCGTGTGGATGAGGAAGTTGCTGAAGAGGGAATGGTCGACGCCGTCGTGGAAACCGAAACGGTGGCGGCTGCTGCAGCTGGGGCGCCCATGGAGGCAGTGTTGAGGCCCATGGCCAGACTGCTGACGGGGCCGAGGCCAGAGGGAGCTGAAACCGTGGCGGAGCCCACCGAGGAGGCCTGAGGGGCCCCGAGAGACACCTGCGCGGCGGCCACAGAGGAAGAGGAAGAAGGGACCGATGAAGACGGCACGGCCGAGACAGAAGAAGGGAAGGATGACGAGTGCAGGCTCGAGTCGCCATCTACGCTGGGATGCTGTTGAGACGGAAGGGAGACAAGAAAGATGCAGTTAAGCCTGATAAGATTACATTTCCATTAGAGTGAACGGACATCTAATGTGTCCATCTACCACCACAGGAAATGTAGCTCTGAAAATGCTCACAGAGGACAGAGATACACTCTCCCGTATAAGAACTCATGCAATTTGTGTGGTCAGAAAAAACCTGCTCTCTTAATGGTTGCTAGATATACTCCACATGCTCCGATATTCCAACGAGCATATAAAGGTCTCACCAGTAAGCTTGTGTTGGATGTTCGAACTGATGATGGGGCAAGGCTGTTCTGTTGGGATGGGTGGGAGCTGCAAGAATGACGAGAAGATATAAAGCACACGTTACCTAATGAAACTTAAGTTCGCGTACAGTTCAAACTACTAGTTGTGTATGATCTCACTTATTGTGTTGAGGAGGGGGGATGGTGCTTGGAGGCAGGTCTTCATTGTGCCCCAGAGCGCTAAGGGACGTCTGATTGGATGTGGTCAGCAAGGAGGCAGGCCCCGAGCTGCTGTCCGCCAAAGTGCCCATGCTGGAGACAGACGCTGGCGTGACCGAATCAGAGGCCGGCTTCACTGATACTGCAGAGCCTGCTGCAGCTGGGGGCAGGGGAGAGATTTTTAGAATAAATTCCAATCAAGAACCATCAGAAAAAAAACAAAGTGTGGTAAATGTCTTAGATATTGTGAACAATAACATAAAAACAAAAGAGCTGGTAGTTAAGACACTCACCTTCCACAGATTGCGTTGCTTGTATTGAGCTGAAGCCATTCTGTAAAACCAACAATGAAGGTGAGCTCACAGGTTTCTATGGAAACAGGCCATTGATAAAAAGTTGAAGGGTGTTGGGATCATGGAAACAGCCACCAAGAAGCTTGTTTGATATGCAGAGCATTTTAACCACAGTTCAGGCTCGACACCGCCAGTGCATTACAATGAACACAAGCTGATACAACAAACGCAAAGATGAAAAAAACAAGAGGACAGTGCAACCATATCTGCAGTTCATTAGGAAATACTGCTCACTTTGCAATTTTAACACTCAAGGGAGAGACACCAAGCCTCCAGAGACATGCATTATAACAAGGATGTCATCCAAATTAGTAGGGTATGGCTATTTCTATATGGAATCCATGTTTACCTTACAAGGCTTTTGCGGTACAAGCAGGGGTTGAGCATGTTGCCTACACCGACCTCTCCTCTAAGTACTACACCAACAACAGCATACTAAATATTTCATAAGTTAAAGACGGAAGCTTTGGTCTTCACCTTGGGCTGCATATCCTTCTGAGGGGAGGACGAGACCGAAGGCGGGTAGCGTCGCGTCTGAGGCGCTCTCTGATCGTACAGGTCCATCTGGCTGTTGTTGGAGAGAGCCGGAGTCGACTCGCTGCGGATTGTGATGAAATCGACAAGACCGGGTTTAATTTTGTGTTCCATTAGTGGTTCTGACCTGAATACTAACGACGATAATTAGAATTTAATTCACTCTTAAAGACTAGACTATGCACTTTAATTGATCGTTACGGCCCAGCGTTTGGTGCTGCATGAGGAAAAAAAAGGGAAATAAATAAATAAAATGGCAAAAATGAGTCACTGTCTCAATAAATCTAAAAAAAAACAAAAAAAACACACACACAAAATATTAAAGGTGATGAGGTATTTTCATGGAAAACATTTGCTCAGCAGCAATACTAGTTCTAAACGGTTCACTTGCATGACATACGTATATGAATATTTGTGCATGGGCGACTACATAGCAGGAAATTAAGTGACTGGAAGGTCCAAAATCTTCCCATTACATTTGGTCACATGTTGGAACACGTTGGTAAAGTCGTGTTCTGGGACGTACTAACCTGCTGGGGCTTGTGTAGAGACTGTTCTGAACCTGGTTGCCTGGCGTGGTGGTGGTAGGAGTGGACTCGTACTCTGGGAGAACTGGTTCTGACCCAAACTGCAGCGCTCCAAACTGAAGATTGAGGCCTGAGATGTCTGTTGAGCCAGGCATCTCCACCGCCATTGCTGGAATCTGAGAGAGATCGGAGGCATTTTTTAGAGTCATCATTGGTTTCGTTTCTTCTAACTATAGACCAAAGGTTTGCTTTCACACACTCGACGCTGCATCTAATAAAACCAACACAGCACAACACCGAAACCAAAACCATGCAGAGATGAACAGCGTGTCATCATATCCAACAAGGTGTGTTTTCATTTTGAGGTAATTCAGGGGGTTCACTTGGTTTTGCAAAGATTTTAAAACATTTTAAGACTTTACAAATACTGCATAATAATTTGAAAACTACCTTTGTTGTAATGGAGGTCCTCTTCTTCTGCTGTTTGAGTTTGTGCTGCTGCAAAGGCAGTGGACTTGAACCCTGGGCGTCTGAGGAACTCGGGGAAACCTGCTGACCTAGAGAAGGAACTGCTGCCATTTTGGGAAGGGAGGAAGCAGGCGGAGGCCCCACATGGGGTGAGGATGTTGTTTGTTGCGGTAAGGAAGAAGACGAAGTGACAGAGGAGGAAGGGGGCAGGCCTTTGTCCTGCAGGAAAACATCCAACATGGACGAGGTTGAGGTGGCCGCCTGGTAGGGCTGCCGCTTTGTAAAGGGCGTATGGATCGCAGACTCTGGCTGAGTCTTCATATCTGGACAGAGAAAAACAGTTATTATTACTAAGATACACCAGTTCAGACTGAAGGAAAACATTTAGTTTTTACTTTAAATTCAATAACAGTGGGATTTAGTTTGACTGATAGTTCACATACACTTGGGTGTCAGCTCACCATATTGTCCCAGTGAGGTGGCGTTGGTGTCCCAGGATGACGGGGCTGTGTTGGGCGGTCCAGTCTGGGAGTGCTGGGCAGCCAGCTGGGCCAGTGCCTGGGCTGTTTTATACTGCTCCAGGAACTGGGAGCCAGTGGTCCCTGTGCTAGCTCCTTTAGGGTCCCCCACTTCCCCAAAACCCTTGCTCAGCATGCTGACCTGCAGTGTTGTTAGATCATAACAAACCGTTACCACAATGATGCAAACACCGGAGCTATAGTCATGCAGAAATGTCATGAAGGCAATGGCCACATCCATTTCCTATGAGGTTAGGAAGTGGTTGAGACACAGAAGTGAAGAGATAACTTGCATCAGTCAGCAGTCAGAGCGAGGGAGGATCGAGCTGCATAGTTAGAGCATGCTGCAGTGCTCGTGCTTCGTAGGGTCTTACCATGCTGTGCTGGGTGTAAGGGGTGCTGGAGGATGTTTGGGAGAGTGGCACCCCTTGCTTGGAGTTGCTGAAAACCAGTGATTGGGACAAAGAAGGGGGCTGGGTGGCCTCCATCGGGGCGTTTTCTGTCTCTGAGGAGGAAGATGGGGGAGTTTTCCCCAGGAGCACCGCAAGGTCGATCCTAAGGCAGAGCAGAAATATTAATCGTTAAAATAAGACCAAAAAATAAACGATCTGTGTTTTCACTCTGGTTAAGACTTATAATTTCACTGCTGCAACTACTAGTTATTTCCATTGTTGATTGACCTGCAGATTATTTTCCTTATTAATAATTTAGTCCATTAGAAAATAGTGAAAAGTCATTTTGCCTCCATGTAGGAGTCCAAAACACAACAATATCCTGTCTGTTATAAGTGCAAGATAAGATAATCTCCACAATGAAGCTTGAACCATGAAATATTTGGCATTTTTCTTCACAATAGATAATTGATTGTCACCACAGTTGTCTATTAATACTCTGCTGAATAACTCTTTAATAAATCAACCCAAATATTTAACCTGTTTTTTTAAAAAAGATCAACTATTTGATTGCGTAAGAATGGAGTCTGCAAAAAAGCGAAAATGGCAAATAATTAAACCGACTACAAAACTCACAGCTTTTGTGAACAAATTAAACAGCAAAACTAAGCTGGAAAGTGAGAATCAGGCTAAAAAAAACAAACCGTGACCCACCTCTGTCCTTTGGTGATGGTAACATTCTCCTGAGGCAGAGGCATCGATGCCACACTGGAAGCTGTGAATATCTTGGTCTCTGAAAGCTGCAGAGGAGGGGATAGTAGAGGATGGAAGAAGTTATATTTGGAAAGAAGAAAGTAAACATCCAGAAATAAAAAAAAGAGAGCCAGTCCTCCGATACTAATGCTGCATTAAAAACCCTGTTATAGCTCAGTGTGTTCTTTAGGAATGCTCACAGAATCTCGTATTTGTGCACTGGGTTAAGCCTTGAAACACTCACATCCTCATTCCAGTCCTCGGTGCCCCACTCCTCTGTGGCAGACCTCCAGGCACCTGTGAGTCAAAGAGAAACGGTTCAATACTATCAGGTTGGGCAAAGAGAGCTTCAAACGGAATGAGGAATGTGTGAAAACAAGAGGGAAGACAGGTTTACCAGGAGCAGAGTCGAACTTGGGTGGATAATTTGTTCCCTCTCCTGCAGAGTACTCCAACCCTAGAGACAAGGATGGAGGTGAGCACATCAAAGCTAATATATCGCAATAGATAGCTAGTATGTTAGATAGGATTAATGGCTATTCAGTCACCCATACATACACATTGGAACATAGGTACACAACACATCTTGGAGTCAGGGATTTGTAAAACAGTGTGCATGGTTCAAGAGGAAAGCTTCTAAACACCAGGCATCAAAACGTGACCTCCCTTTCATCTTTACTGCAGGAGCTTCTTTGGGATGCCGAACATGTTTTTTTTTTTTTTTTTTACAATCGTTTGGATGGTAAACAGACGCTGAATTGATAAGATTAACTTCTCTTATTGGAGGGCAACCTTTCTTAATAAATTAACTTACTAGCTCCCTCCTCTATCTCCACGCTTCCTGTGTTGTTCCAGGTACTGCCTCCTCCGTAGTTCTCTTCTGTCTGGGCTGGCTCCGCGTAGTCAGCAGGGTTGAACGTTCTAGAAAAGACAGCGATAAGAGTTTAGTACTGACCACTGCCAAGTAACTAAAAGGGGAGTCAGCACTACCAAGGACTTTAATTATAGCTTGGTACCTGCAAATTTAAAAAAAAATTCTTAGAACTCTCCTACAGCAGGTCCGATTTTTGAGTGTTAAGCAGAGGCCGATCTCAGATCAATGCTGTGGGGTGCAAACCACTGCTGATCTAGTTGGTCTTTTTGAACAAATGCACGGCACTGCAGTCATCACAAGGCCTTTTTCTTACACACTTCAACCAGGAATAACTGAGATTGTAGCAGGAAAACACAGAAGAAACAGGAAACCTACATGAATCCGTTACCGCCTTTGAGACTCTGTACAGTCCATACAAGTAAGGATTGGTAAGCAACTAAATGCCATCTTTTTGGGTAGTTTTTAAAGAACTTTTTTCGTGGTATTTTCATTAATTTGACACATCCGTGTATTCCCAGAAAGTTACAGCTGGTGCAACCTAGCAACATGATCGAGCGCAACACTTTTCTTTTTGAGTCAAGCCAAGCCGCTTTCATTATTTGTCTAAGATCCTTCCTGTGCAAAATCAAGATGCATTTATGGCTTGTGTGAGCGGATTTTTATCTATTTCACATCCTATTAATAGAATGAAGAGTAATATTTTCGGTTTTGGTAATTTCTTGCGTGACATCATCGTGTTTTGTGGCACTCAGAAGTCTCCCTACAGAAAGCAAGAGTAACAGACACACCAGAGGCGATGCACTCACCTCTCACCTCCTGCAATATCATATCTGGGCCCCTTATCAATCTGGCTTTAGAGGAAAAATAATGGCAACAATTACAAAAAAGAACAACAAAGTAAAAGGAGCAGATCAAGCTTTTGTTTTTCACACCACAATCCAGAGCAGCAGCATAAGCAAAATGCCTTCAAGCTGCCTGTGCCAGTACTGTTAAAAAAACAAAACAAAAAAACACCACTCTACATCGGTCACTCACTCTACAATGCAAAGCAAGCCAGTGTGCTTTTAGTCACAGTGGGTCAATATACAGTCCAAGAAACCAACTCACCGGAAGAACAGGCTGCACAATGCAGCCACAAACACTGTTGCTAGATTACAGCACGAGTAAACACAGCAAACCTTTTCATGACTGCATTTCGTACCTAAAAGAAAAATCTTTTCATCACACAGTTATACAAACTAAAAGCTGCTAGTGAACAAACACACAAGATTCCCGAAGACTCAAGAACTTTTTTTGTAGCGTCTGACAACATAAACTAAATTCACAGGGTTTCTATACGTGCTAACCGGGAAAGGCCTACATGGATAAAATGGAGTCACATTTTTTTCACTTGGTTTATCTTCTGCAAATGTAGAGAATTACAAAGTCAGCTAACAGTTACCTCAAACAGACTGTAAAATGAGCCAACCAATGCTGTGCTACTGGTGAAAACAACCAGCTACATAATAGATCTCTTAGTCTTAAATGGGATGCATAATGATATTAAAGGAAGAACCTCCACAGCTTTATTCCACAAGCTGTCAGAATGCTGAACTGCTGATCCAGATATGCAACCACCTCTGTATTTAAATTGCTTTAAGGTATTGGATCCTGAAGAAATACTCTCTCATCAAAATGACAATAAACTTGATTTGACATTAGCATCATTATCAACTAGTAAAAACAAAAATGCAGTTTTGTTTGAAAACATTACATAAAACTAAACTATGGCACAGTTTACGTGCAAGTTTCACTAGTTTTCTTATTTCGCCTCACGAATCTGCACATTTGTAAAGCATCGCAAGCACCTGCACCTACCGTTGGGCCATAATGATACGAATAACAACATGTTAAATCAACTGCAGGATGTTCTCTGCAGTCAGGTGCAAAAAAACGTGAACATATCAGTATCAGCAATCAGCCAAAATCTGTTAAATATTCAACAATTGGTGCAAAAATCAGATTAAAGCTGCCATAGTTAAAATAAGTGATACAGTAATACCACTAAGGCTAAGCTTAATGACAGCTATTGTGTAGTTTCCATTTTCTAGTTTGTGCGCTGGCTGAGTTTACTAGCTAGCATTCACCATCAGACTAATTACAAACATCCTCCTCTTGGCTGGTGAAGGAAGGCGAGAGCAAGTCAATCAAGTTGTATGAGATTATTGGCAACATACAGTCATCTGCTAGCTAGTGGTAAAAATAAATTAATAAAAACAGCCTCCTCTAGAAACAAGAGAATAATCTGCTTTGCTTTCAGGTAATACTGAATCACTTCCCCCTTCCTCCCATCAATTTTAAAGGTACCATATTGTGGCGCTTTTCAGCAAACTAATCAAACATGTTCTGAGAGTGTGTCTTTCGGGTTTTCAGCTCAAAATACTGCAGAGATGGTTTGTTTTACCAAGACTGCACAACCAGCTGACAGACGTGAACGAGGGTGTGACACCAGGACAATACGGCTTCTAACGTTCTCTCTGAGCTATCGGTTGACATGGAAATATCACCATATTCACAGCAGAGCCATTGTTTTGAAATCATGTGTGTGCACCGTTTGTCAGACAACGTTGCAGTTCCAAAATCAGCAGTTTAGTTTTGCAACTTGGAAATTGGTCTGGTTTCACTGAAGCACTCCAAGCAAAATGAAAACACAGTAGTGCACCCAGGCCTTGTTTAAAATTTCCACCAATGTCCTCTAGTTTCATAGCTTCCACAGAGCTCGGACCTGTGGGCATACAATCAAAGCTAATGCTAATGCTAGCCACATTAGCTGCCGCACAACGCGCAAAGCCTGGGATTGTCTTGTTGTGGTGACACTGCAAATAAAAGTAATCCACTGGATCTTCAGTTCTTCAGATGCTGGGAGTGCATGAAGACTCCTGTGTTCACTCTTGCAGCTCAACAGCAGAACATTTGGTGTACTTCACTAACAGCTGAGACAGTGTAGAGTTAGCAGAAGCAGCTCTTGTAAGTCAACAGAGCTGGTGGACAGTAAGGCAGCTGCTCATTCTGAATGGCTAACCTGGAAGCAGCAAGGGGGCAGGATAATGCAAAGTTTAAGCTGGACAACTACTGGCTATAATTCTCACTGGCTTGTAAAGCTGGGAGGATATGCAGCTGTGGAGGGGACTGAGGAATAGAAAAGTAAACATCTTCATATCTTATCAGCTTTTATGTTGCACCACCAAGTTTATAACAACCACAAAACCCAATAAAAATGGATCAGCACCATATGGGAGCTTTAGGGCTTACGCCAACATTGGAACAATCCTCTTTTTTCATTAATACAGAAGCGTGGTTCTCGGTTTGCATGTTAGCATCTTCAAGTAAAATATGTAGGTGAATAGCACAAATTGTCATAGCATCAAAACAACAACAACACATAAACGCATGCAAACCTTGACACAGTAACAAACTGATCATAGATTTTATCTGCCTCCTTTAAAACCATCTTCAGGTCACTGAACTACACCAACACCGTCAGCAAACTGGTAAACCATATCTGCCAGCAACAAAAAGAAAAAATAAGGACAGAGCTGGTGTGTGGTTGGGGCAGTGATAGGAAACATGACATCTCAGCTACCGCTACATGCAACTGCAAGAGCGGGGGCCTCCACCGCTCAACTCATTAAAAATATCCTTCGTTTAAAGTCCACATCAACTAGTGTATTAGATATGCAAATCAATATCTGGGTCAACACATAAACACTGAAACAAATATACCTAAAACATCTTTACAGGAACTGAGAACACGGCGGTAAAGATCCTGCAGGAGGTTATGTAATGTTATTGTTTGCACCACCAGCACTTCAGCAAACATCTCTGAATCTCAAGACAGCTCTTCTAGTTACATTCTAGTTATCCCCTGAGCCGCTGAAGTTCTGTGTGCAAACATATACTTACGAGAAATATTACACTAGTTTTAGAGTACACATTCAATGCTTATTCAGTATTTCTTGTCTGGGCAGGAAGCCTCTCAGGCCCCTGATCTCACAAGCTAAAGCTACATCATGTCAAAGCTAGTTCAACAGAAAATGTATACCTGACTGCTTATTATCACATCCAGGAAATCTGTCATGACAATTCAAGTCCCACTGCGACATTACCAATAAAATGACAATGAAATGAGTCAAGAATACCATCACAGTGAACAAGTACTTCCTCTGTTATGTCACCTTGCCGCCAGTGCACAATGCCAACTCATCAACCGACATGTTATTAACTGCACTCCTGCACACACACATACACACACAAACAAAGACACACAAACCAGGCACAACACAAACTAAATACTGCTAAAGCCCAGAACCAGAGAGCAGAGACAGGAAGGTTAATCAGCTGGGTCCCTGACACCCCTCTTAGTGGATCAATCCAAATTTAACTCTAAACAAAATGTTTAGACACTGCACCCTCTGAAGAGGGATATTCAGCCCACGCTGCTCCATCCCATTGGCTGATGTATGTCCTCCCTCCTTTGGATTAAGGCTAAACAATAAGCTGGGGTCCTGCTCTCTGGTGACCATGGCAACATGTAAAAGTGGAACAAAAGGCCCTCAGGATTTAGGCAACGCAGGTATTCCCTTACCCCATGCCCTGTGCCGAAAATCTGCCTCCTCGCCGTCCAGATACTCCTGGGGACACAATAAGACCTTATGTCAGTTTCTTAGTTTCAACTGTTGTCACAAGAAAGAGGCAGCAGATTAGGGACAATAAAAAAAAAAACACACACAAGATTTCCCTTGTTTTGATTGGATACACTTCCTTCACCGAGGAGTGCAGCTAAAGAGGATTACTTACCGACAGTTCCCCTTCCTCTGCCTCTTCCCCTTCGGCCTCGCTCTGCCCCTCTTCCAGCTACCCCAGCTTTGCCTCCATCCAAGCCGTTCTCCTGACCACGAACTTGAGTTATGGAGAGAGAGAGAGAGAACCGCATCCGAGTTAGACACTGCACTGCATCCAAAAATCAAGATAACCATTAAATATAAAGTCTGTTACAGTTTAGAAAAAACCCCACAAAAAAAGTACAGAGTTGTATGAGAGGCCAAGTTGGCCTCCATTTCAAAATCAAGATGAATGACTAAGCTAGCTAGAAATTTACAATGGATCACTCTGTTCCCCCTTTAAGACCTCAGATTGGGTGAAAAAAAACGAAAGTCTAATTATGTGCTTTAAATCACTAAATAACAAAAAAATATGCAAGTAAACGAGACCTTTAACATAAAATCAGCTAAATAGGAGGCTACTGCCGTCTTGGGTCACACAGCAGCGTTTAGCTGCAGCGAGGCAGGAGATAATGGAGGTGACCTCTGGCAGGATGATTATGTGTTGTCATGCTACCCTGATTAGTTCAACTCTTCTAAAAGGCTTCTTCTTTCAGTGATTTTGTAGCACCTGTGCAATGTTTCCAGGGTAAACTATCGCTATGCAAAACACGTAAAAACGGACACAAACGCAGCATTTGTTTCAACAGGAGAGAACGTCGTCTCATGGTATAGAGAGAAACTTGCACTTTGATTTAAAAAAATAAAAAAAAAGGGACTGGTCAATGCCAACTACTTGTTCACTATGATACTTCTCAGAGATGCCATAAAATGTAAAAAGCATACCTCTGAAACAGTGCAGAGGAACGGTTTGGGGAATCAGCTTTTAATATTCAGAAATATGACAAAAATGTAGAACTAGTGGATGTGGTGAAGGCTTACACTCTCTGCCCCTGCTGGCTCCGCGGCCCTTGCGTGGAGCTCCACCTCGGCGACGTGCTGCATCTTTCTCTCCTCCTTTCTCTCTGTTCTCTTTTCCCTCCTCTCCGGTTTCTGCCTGGCTGGTCTCCTTCTGACCCGACACTCCTTTCTTCTTCCCCACCATCTCCCAGGAGTCCTTAGGAAACAAATAGCGTTACGACGTTGTTCCTTGAAGTCAGTATACGGCTCCTACTTCGTAATGAGTCACTAGGATAGAATAAACTCCCAGAATAATAAAGTGAGGGTCAGTTACAGGTTGTCTGATATTCTGGAGTCAGTACGGCACTGATTTGGAGCACATGATTGGTCTGGTAGTGACCCAGCTGGGTACAAAAACATAGCTTATAATTTGTCACCAGATGGGCAAGTCCACATCTGACTGCTTCCGAGTCGGACTCCAGCTAAGTTTATCACAGATAATACAATTTGTAGTTATGTAGGAAAGCCATGGCAGCAGCTACTTATATTGATCAAGCTTGTTTTCAAATCTTTTTCCTCTGTGCTGGTTATCTTGACAATCCAAGGAGCTGACAAACTCCTATCAGGTGTGATTAATGTGCGGGCAAGATCCATTTACATTCTTCTATGGTTTCAATTTCTGCTCATGTTGTACTCGGTACATTCATATCTGAGCTTGTTTGCAACTGTGAGTTTGTCAAAGCTGCATTTGTGTTGTACGGCCAATTTGTGCAAATTTTAAGAACTGCCTATTGAAGGTTGAATTGTCAAATTTAATTGAGGGTGACAGTAAGTTTGTCAAAGGATTAATTCTTCCCTTATGGGTCAGCGACGACATACTAGGGGGCATGCAAAACAACAGAGAAAGAACAGAAATTGTGTTTATAGTGAACACCCCCCTGCACCTTTTACCATTGACTTGATAACTGTACATACGACTCTGTAATCTAATCCAGTGTGGCACGGATTTCTCCAGAATCTGGCCCCCACAGCACCAGCCAGCCCTCACACAAAACCATTACTCACAGTGTCTGGGCTACCCTCCAGCAACACGTTAATGGCTCTGTTGACATCCCCATTGCAATCATGCAGCGCGATCATGGACTCGTCCTGGTCCTTGCCTGTGATGTCGATCAGCTGGAAAAGGACGAGTGTCATGATGAGACGCAGAGGTGACCCCTGGCTGACATTTCTGGCGTCTCATTTATTTAAAAAAAAAAAAAAAAAAAAGCTATCCTATACAATTATGCAGATTCCTATTAAAACCATATAGTAAAAATATGTGTTAAACATTGAGTAGTTCAGTAAAAGGTCAGAATACACGGTTAGTTAGAGCAGCTTCAGGACTCAGCATCTTTATAAGGTCACTTAAAAGATCAATAGTAACCAGTAGTTTGAACACAGGGTTTGTTCTCCATAAAGCCTGCGATATTGTCTCCTCTTTCAGTTTCTTTAAAAACAGAACACTATAGTCTAGAATGCAAAAGAATATACTGTATACTATCCACTTTGGTGTCATAGTAAGGCAGAGAACAGCAAAAAATATGTATAAGGAGTGCAAAACTGACTCAAATGCTGCATGCTGTCAATATGAAAAGAATCTCAGCTGCTTACTCAAGTTGTAAATAAACAAAAACACAAAACATCCCTATGATCTGGTTACTGAACTTTCTGGCCTTAGATGACATTTTAGGGTTTTTATTTCTTAAATTTAACTTCATCATCAATGGCTGCAAACCAAATATGATTATTTGCTGCCAGATCGTGTACAAGATCACCAAACATTTCATGTTTCATGGATAGGAGGGGAAAAAAAGTATGCTGTGATGATAAGTTATCAAGCGTAAAACAGAACTGAAATAGAGCGATTAACGTGTCAACAAAACGAAACTGCTGAGATTCTTTTAAGAACAGAAGCTACTTATTTCCAGAATGGCATCACATATTTTACCATCTTAATGTTAAAAGCATAAAAAAGAAACAAAGAAATGGACCTAAAAGCTCCTCTCCTTTGCTGCTTTCTCATGTTTCAGAAACTGAGGACTTGTAAAAAAAAAAAAAAAAGAGAGAGACTTCAAGCACTTTTTTTCAGACATCACCACATCTAATTAACATGTCTATTCACAGAACAACACGATTTTAAGGAAACACACTTTCTTACGACCTACACAGCAGACTTCACTAACTTTGTTATTTCTTGATGACATCTAACGAACTAAATATGCAAATACAAGCGACACACACACACATCCAATGCAAAACATAGCAGATGTAATACTATACCGATGTGCCACAAAATGGTGCTACTACACAAAAGGAAAGAAAAACTCCACAGTGGGAGAAAATAATGCATCTTCTCACCTGTTTAACCTTCTCTTCAAAGTCTGCATCATTGTGGTCTGAAATCATCTGCGCGAGTCGGATCTGCTCTGCGGTGGCCTGTTTGGAGAGGAGCGAAACGTCCGACATTTGCATCAACAAACAGAAGCACAACATTTGCATTCTTGAAAAAAAAAAAATTTATACTCAGCCGTGTATAAAATCTCTAGGTCTCGCTTCAAAGTAATTATAAGTCGACAAAATCCTACAATAGCTTTCCTACAGACGCTGTACCCAATTCAGGCTTACACAACTAATTACTACTTTACTGTCCTTGGACTTGTTTCCTGTTTCTTCGGCATCTTTTTTATTGTGAGCGCAACAGCTCTGGGAGAAAACTATTTTGTTGCCCTGTACAGTTTAGTGTTGCAAAGCGAAAGTGAATTCTTCTTTGAACCTTGACCCCACTAGACTGTTAAAAGCATTTCCAGTGTTGAAATAACAGTACATATTCTTAACAAATACTGTCAGAAACAGTTTCATTTGCAGCATAAATGCGAACACCAGACGATCGGAGTTGGATTTTTGACATGTCAACAAATTATCATACAAAGCATCATATCAATTAAATACGTAAATTAGTACGAGCCAAAACAATACTACAAAAAAACAAAAGGACCATCTGCTTTTTGTCAGGGAGTAATAATAATAATCATCAAAACTTTTTCAAGACAAACACTTGCATGGTGTCAGCTGGTCAACCTAGATTCATGACTGAGCTGATCAGTTCAGTTCGGACGCAAAAATCTCATTTTCCCCTCCCGACTGTCAAAATATGGCATCAAAACAGTTGTTATTGTGTTTTAACTTTAAGTCTACTGTAATTTGTTATCAAAAGGCTTCATAACAGGCTTGGCATCATCCACCACAACCTCTAATAAGAGTATATTAAACCGAGCTATGCATATGATATTTAAATTTCTGTGGAATAACACTGTCCTAGTTGTTGGTGCGCATTATGTAACTTTGGAACCAGAAACTCTGCATAACCAAACCGGTGATGTTTACTTGACGTGCCTATATTCAACCCTGGTGCAGATCTTGGTGCACCTGTGCAGTGTGTCCTGAGGTGAGTGTGGGGGTACCTGAGGCCTCTGCTTGTGCTGTGTCTGGCTCTGTGTCTGGCCCTGTGTCTGCTCCCAGCTGCCCCGGGCTCGGTTCCCGCCCATGGACGTCATCATTTACAGTATATACAAATAACAGTATTTACAAAGGAATAACACCTGAGGAGAGAAGGATGAGAGGAGCGTTACAGACCTGCGACTATGACCCACTTATGTCATGTACGTGAATGGCACACCTGAACACTACTTCCTCAAAGTGCCTGGCAGCTTATTGTGCACTGCTGGGGAGGCTGGCAGTGGTATCAGCTTTGTTCTCAGAGACGCCTCGAAAACGTTGACAAAGGCTGTTTTTTTTCTGCCTCTTTCTATGACCACGTCTAAAAGAGCAGGGCTAGCCGCGGGTCTGACCCGGGAAACAAGTGTGTCACGGTACAGTAGGCGCTGCTGCACGCAAGGCTAACAAGTGCAGAGCTAAGTTATCTCCCTCTACGGAGCATGATGCAAAGCTTTACACACCAAAATAGCCTGCGTGCACTTTAATTAACATATATTGTCAGACGACCGAATGTGATCACAAAGCTCCTAATATACCGTATTGGGCATCAAATGAGGAAGACAAGGCACAAACACGTACTTGAGGCTGTCAAGTCCACCCCTGCTCGATAGCAATTTCTTAACCTTGCTATCGACAGTGACTCCTTAATCTTGCATACGTTACGTAAAACCCTGTTTTGACTAGCCCACAAACAAGCCCGAAGCCAGGGCCCGTCGAACATATCCAATACCACTAGCCAGCCACATGGCCAAAATGCTAGCCAACTAGCTAATACTTGAGGGGAAAGCATCAAGCTTTGAAGTCTCGGTGGGCTTCCGCTTCTCTGGGCTTCACCTCATGGCGACAACGAGGCTAACTTTAGCAGCCGCTAGCTAACCAGCTAACTCAGTGCCGTCACCTGGCTGTACAAAGCTGCGCTGCTGGGGTTAGCTGACTTGGCTTGATAGCCAAGAAGTTAATTAGCTCACAAACTGCTAACGGGCGGTGAAGCTTTTACGTTCAACCAGACAAACCAAAAACGCCCATGCCACTCCGCTGCCACTAGTTATCAGCTAGCGACCTGGTAGCCATGCTAACTTAACGAAGTAACGTCGTTTCGCATAGTTAGGCGGCGTTAGCTACGCTAGCAAATTAGCAGCCTCAGTTACTGCACCGCCGCTCTGCAACATTCACAACCACTGTGGCCCCGGTGTGCTCTGATGCCCGGGCTCTCGACACAGAAAACACCGAGGCTAGAGGTAGGCCTGCAGGCCCCTAAAATGAAAATAAATAACAGGCAATACTGACCAGAAACCCGGCTCAATATTACACACTGCAACACAACCGGCCGACAAGTGGTCTCGCTTTCGACCTTCAAGTCGGATTTAGGACAGGATATAAGTCCTGAACCCCAAGTTGATATAACTAAATTGAGAAAATAAAACGAGCCGACTCGCTCACACAATAAGCGAGAGACTGTGAATTTACCTGTTTCTTTTCCACTCTGACACCACGGAGAGCTGAGTCACGTGGTTTACAGAGCGCTGCGAGGAAGCTGGAGCCGCACCACGTGACCGCGCGCTGATGTAGTTTAATATCATCAGCGGAGTTACGACATGTCACTGCTGGAGACCGCACGGGCCCCAAACTCCTGAACACAGGAAAAGATCAAAAATAAGATAAGAAACAAACAAACAAAAAATCAAAAAGCATATAGCATTAAAATGATCAGCAGGATTGGATTTTATAATTAATGAACAAGATGAACGCTGAAGAAGTCAGAAATACAAATATGAGCAGAAATATGTACCATCAGAATATTAAAAAAAATAAAAAAAAAAAAAATGGAATATTTGATTTACAAGAGCCAAATCTGAATTGCAAGAACTGGATTTTAATTTTGAAAACTGAATATAAAGCTGAATTCAGTTTCAGTCTAATAAATTCAATTTCAAATGATGTGATTCAAAATATTTTTAAAATTCAGTTATTCAGTTTAAACAATACACATTCAAATGGTTTTATTCAAATTCAGTATTTAGTACAGTTATTCAAGATGCATAATACAATTTCTTTCTTAAAAAACAAACAAAAAAAAAAACAGTTATTAAAGTTAAAAGCTTCAAATTGGAATCATAACATTACAATATATTTTTTAATACAATTACTCTGGGCCAGAAATTCAAATGACGTGATTGTAATTACATTTTTAATACAATTATTCAAGTTGAACATTTACAGTTAAAATTCTATAATTCAAATGTGTTTTTTAAACACAGTTATTCAAGTTAAACAAAACAAAATCAAAGTATATAATTGAAATTCCTTTTGTTTTTGGCTCATGTTCTAAATATTAAAGGGGACATATCCCCTCCATCATCCCTGAAATTTATGCCTACAAGTAAGAATAAATTAGTTTTAAATCAAAATGTATTAAAATGTATGATTCTGTAGACTTGCTATATATGTCGTGTATAGACACACCATTCTGTAATAATACAAAAATATGTAATATACACATGCATAATAGAAATATTGTGATGTAGTGTAGACATGTAAGGACACTTGTATTATTTCACTGGTATTTACTTATTATTTTGTGTCAGCGATATTTCAGTTTCAACTTTGCCTTAATTGCTGTTATGTTGCCTTTTGAGTGTCCTGCTTTTAAAGATCTTTTTAAAAAGCTGCTGTATAAAGAAAAGTTATTATCCATATAAATATAAAAATAATGAAATGAATGAATGAAAAATACTTTATTTATCCCAGAAGGGAAATTCAATTCAATACGGCTACAATCAGGCAATTATATGGATGAAGTTCAGCATGAAACATCATAATCTAAAACTACTTATTGTGTTTGCATGTAATTTTGCACACAAGAAACTAAATATTACAAATCTAAACACAAAAACAAACAAAAAGTAGATAGTAATAGGTTTTATAGGTCCATAATAACTGTTCATAAAAAATGAAGCGTTTGCTGTGGCTTGTCCTCGTCATCCGGTTACTACGGTAATTTAGCGGTCGTAAATCAGCTGTCTCTGTCGCACTGTCGGCGCAAAGCTAACACAGGCTAAACTGCGTAATGAAGAGGAGTGTTAGCTCAGTACCTGAATTGTGTTTTTTCTTTCTAGAAGATTCTTTTCAAAATTGTCAACTGTTAGGTACCTGCTCGTGTGTACTGTAGTTGTGAATATTTATAATAGAAAAAATGAACAACCGACTGTTAGCTACCAAGCTAATGTAGCAAAATCAGGTAGGTTTATTTTGCTAGCTAGCTAACCGACCTGTGGATAAAGTGTACACACTGACAGACGGACAGCATGGCAGAATCATCGCCGTTGTCGGGAGTGAACGTTGTCTTGGTCATGGCTTATGGCAGTTTGGTGAGTAAGACGCTGTTTGGGCTGATAGCTGATATGAGGTCGTGTGGTTGTGACGTCCCTTAAACAGCTGGTTTTGTGTGCAGGTGTTCGTGCTGCTGTTCATCTTCGTCAAAAGGCAAATCATGCGTTTTGCAATGAGATCTCGCCGCGGACCCCATGCTCCTATTGGCCACAATGCACCCAAGGTGAGCTGAAACACCACTGTTACCATCAAAGTTACCTGTTGTGTTGTCAGGGGGCAGCAGATGCTCATGAGCCCTGTGTTTTCTCTCTGTGTTCATTTACAGGGTTTGAGGGAAGAGATTGACTCCAGGCTGTCTAAGGTCCAGGAGATCCGTTTTGAACCTCGTCTCCTGGCAGAAGAAGATGACAGGCTGAAGCGACAATCCCAAATTAGTATGTTACCTTTTCAGCCCATCTTGTTGTCAAACGGATCTCCTCTCAGCGTCTATTGTCCTTTTTCTATAATGTGACAAAATCCTGTTTGTGTTTCAAAGGTTGCTACAACTACCTGTACAGGATGAAAGCTCTGGATGCCATCCGTGACTCAGGTGAGACACAGCTGATTCCATGAAAGTCCATCCATCCATTGTATATACACTACTTAATCCTCACTTGGGTCTTGGGGGGCTGGAGTCTATCCCAGCTGACTCAGGGTGAAGGCAGGTTCACCTGGACAGGTAACCAGTCTATCACAGGGCTGCACTTAGAGACAGACAACCAAGCACACTCACATTCACACCTACAGACAATTTAGAATCACCAATTAACCTCAACATGTTAAGAGAACCCGGAGAGAACCCACGCTGCACGGGGAGAACATGGAGACTCCACGCAGAAAGATCCTGGGTGTCCTCACCAGGACGAGAACTGGTGACCTTCTTCCTGCGAGGCAATGGTGCTAACCACCGAGCCACCTTGCAGCCCTCTATTAAAGTCACACTCAATAATTCTCTCAAGTCCACTTAAGCTATTACCGCCCATAGAGAAGCAACAGCGAAAATAATTAGTATTTAATGTAATTATTAAACGTGGTTCACTTATGATTGCCGTCACATTTTTAATGCAGTGACTCAATGTGTCATGTTTGTTTCTTCCTTGTTGAACCTCTATGGATGATAGGAATCCCCCTGCAGGAGATAAGCCGCAGTCCCAGTGCCTTTACTGGACGCAGCTTCCGGAGCTGGTTGCTGGAGCTGCGCAACTCCCACTCTCTGATCAAGAGCAGCCGCAGCGCGCTTATCGATCGCTTGCTCGAAGGCTACGACAGCGCTCGCCATGGGACCGGGGTTGGTGTTTTTTAATGTCACCATAGCAGCTTATTCTAATGTGTAGAAGAGCTGTGTTGTTAGCTGCTGTAAGATTCTGACTTTTTGTTTCAGGTGTTTGGGGAAGCCGAGTTTCTTGAATACCAACAAGCTCTCAACGAACTGGCTGACGTGTAAGTGCCGCCCTGCTGGTCCAGACTTGAAACCGTTAATCGTTGTTGGAACAAGCATGGGTGTAGGTTCTGATTGAACAATAGGGACGCATTGTCTGTTTGCCGGTCTTCCTCCATAAAAATCTGAACATCCAGCACTCAGATTCCTGCATTCTTTGTGCACCTGTTTGGGCCTTTTTCTGTTTCATTGTGGTGCAAATGCTTTTATTTGTTTGAAGGCAATTACTAGATTCAGGCACAAGGTGACTAAATATAATGTAATGCAGTGAAGCTTTCAGGCGTTCTGCATTGCCTTCAAATAATTATTCTCCTCTAGATAAACATTTAATATTAGTCCTGCTGAGTCAACACACACATACAGCAGGGATTTAATCCTCTGTCCTCTTTTGTTTGGACAAATAACTTCTTTAAATGTGACACCTCAATGACAATGAATTTATTTGAATTAATTTTAATCTTACACATAAGCACAATCATACATTTTGTAGTAAAGATCTGCAGCAACTTTTAAATAAAATGCCCATGAATAGGATTAATTTGTGTCCTTGTATTAATGATACATTACATTTGTGAATTCCTTATGTCTTCCACAGTAAAGCTTTTGGTATAATCTGTTTCCTCTGCCCCCCCTCAGGGTCAAGGCCTATTCCAGCTCCACCAGCCTGGACCAGCATCACCAGTCTGCGGCGAAGGACTTGACCGGTTCTCCTGTCCGGAGCACGGCCTCCACCATCCAGGTCACCTACCTGCCCTCCACCGGCCAGCGCAGCAAGAGGCCCAAACACTTCCTGGAGCTCAAAAGTTTCAAAGACAACTACAACACGCTGGAGAGCACACTGTGAAATGAGGACCGTCAGAGCGTTTGTGTGGCGTGTGAGCGTGTAGCGTAATGATTACACAGTCTGCTGGGAAACAAGGGGTTGGAACAGACTGTACCTTCAAGTTCAGCTTTAAACCAGCAAATTTGTTTTGGGACGACTCCTTTAGTTCAGATGGAGAATTGTTTTTTTCCTCTTTTTTTATGGTGAAGCCCGTCTGTGTTCCACTGAGGCCTGTGGTCTTATTTTGGACCTAAATTATGTTCAGAGGACAGATATGATTGTTGCAAAGATCGCTAAGTTATTTTTGTAAAAACAGCAAAGTTCATTACACCTGGATTCAAATGGTCTTTTTTCCGCTCATTGGTCCAAATGTAAATATTACTGTAATTCTAAATATGTGTTTGTACAAATGTAACATATTTATGGTGATAATTTAATTTATTTAATTGATACTGGTTGGTTTGGATTTATGTGACGGTTGTACACGGTTGTGGTTTGAGATAAAAATCCTTCTTCTCTGCATATTCAGTGTCTGTAATATGTCCACTAGGTGGCAGTACAAGGTTACAGAGCAACACATGATCAAAGCTGTAAAACAGAACAACACATAAGCCAATTAAAACAAGTTTTTTCTTTTATTAGACTTAAATAAAACTGGACAAAGTCTACAATAACAGGACAAAGAATGAACTTCAGTGTATCTATCTACAATGTTCACAGTAAATGGTAACGTTATAAAAATGTTCATCCTGGTATTTTACAGAAAGAAAGAAAGAAAGTCCACACAAACAACAAATGATTACGTAAGATTATGAGTTAAATCAGCGTTTTTAAATATGCAGCCTTTACACGCAAACAGAAAATACAACGAGCACGTTGAGGCAACACTTGGCAGAGAAGACGAGAAGTTAAAGAGCCTCTAGAAAGCATTCGCCAGCACTACGCAAAGACGGTAGAATATATAAGTAACTTTTTCACTCTTGTATGTTTAACCTGCTCTAATGACAGCGAAAAATCTATTTAAGTTCAACATAAGTCATGTTTCGACCTTGACGCAGCTAACTGCATGCCTGCTATTGGCAATGTGGTGCAAAGCACTGAGGAATCTGACCCTGAACCCTGAAGGACTGACGTCCAGGAGGCCGTCGGTTGAAAACAACCCGCGATCGCTGAACACATCGTGATTATTTGCACATTTAATAATAATAATAATAATAATAACAATAGGAATTTGTAACTGACTTTCTTTGTACACTGACTTGGTGAAACAGCTTATTCAGATTCTGCAGAACCGGGGTCCAGCAGGGATTAGTACTGGACTCTTGCTACTGCCACTGCATCCTGAAGACATGCTGAGAAAGTACACAGATCTGTGTCCATGTAACATCGAAGATGTTCAGTAAAATTCTTTGCATTGCTTTTTCCTTGTGTCCTTTTTAGGATTTCTCCCAGATAACTGTTTTTCGCTGAGAAAAGGGATGTTGAACAGCATTAAAAGTAACTACAAGGTTCTAACAGGAGACCAACGTGCATGAGATCTGTTAAAAGAGGCTTTGTGTTTTTCTTTTTTTTGCTCACTGCAGGTCTACTTTATGTATACTGGTGGCTGGTTACACATATATTTACACAGTTTTTACTTCTGGTCATTCCTTTGGTAGTTGCGCCATTCAGGATTTGATCTCGATGACTTTGATGAACGGGAGGGCTTTGTTGGTCTGTGACGTCGGCGTCAGCGTTTTGCTGCACGAAAGAGAAAAATGACAAATCAAACAAAGGACGAGGCACGAGCTCAGCAGGACGGAATTAGCCGTGGGTTAGAAAATGAGCAGAAGTTGAAATGAAGACGCGATCGCTCACCTGTAGACAACCTCTGGCTTGTTCTCAGGAGACAGAGGTGGAGGCTCCTGGCCTGCCAGGAAGTACTCCATGTGGTCATGCATTTCTCTGTTCTGTAAACACAACGTGGTTAAAGGCATTAAAACGTGTCCTTTGGTTTTACTTTTCTGGTGCAAAAGCAGAGATAAAGACACTGTTTTCCAGTATTCACGGTAACATTTTAGCTCTTTGTCAGCTTGGAAAAGTGAAGGATGAAGCTTTTACGGTGGCCAGGAAGTGCAAAACAAATGTACAAACTCTCGAAACACTTTTACAAGTGAACTCAACCGGAAAGGGAATGTACCAACTCTGAGATTGAACCAGAAGTGGTGACGGGGAGCGGCCAATAAGAGCTGTTGTTGTCATTTATGGAGTTCATGGTGACCCAAGATGGACAGCGACAGAGTGATGTTTTGAGGTACACATGAGCCAATTAAAGTGGTTTTGTTTTTCGTGTGGTCAGTCTTTCGAATTTTTAAGGGGCTTGGACCAGACGGAAGATATGCTGCAGCAGTGCATCAGATATTTTAATGAGGGAACTCGTATGTTGTGATCGTAGACATGATGTCATGTTTACATGATGTTCACATCAGCTTGAGGTCTCTGAAAAGCAAACTGAATGAAGCCGGGTTGTGACCGTGTTAATCGACTCATGTGTGCCACAAAACGGGCAAAACATCACTCTGTCGCTGTCCATCTTGGGTCACCATGAACTCCATAAATGACAACAACAACTCTTACTGACTGCTCCCTGGTACCACTTCCGGTTCAATCCCAGAGTTGGTACATTCCCTTTCCGGCTGATTTTACTTGTAGAAGTGTTTCACCACTTGTAAATTTGTTTTGTACTTCCCGGCCACCGTAGGCTTTGGTTATCATATAGTTTTCTACTGTCAACAAATTCAATGAAAAGAACAAAACAACAGCTTTATTCCACCTCCCAACAGTCTGTTTGTGACACTCTGCTCCACATTTATTTGTTCCTAATGAAGATATCAATCTTTAAAGAGGGCTGTTTCATTATTAAAAAAAGGCTAAGTAGTTTTCTAACACATCTGGGGCCTGTGGTTCTTAATAAAAGGTACTCAAATGGGAGTAAATGGTGTATTTTATGTGGACTACTTTTCCCTGTGGATGAATACACATTCGGTGTGAGGCTTGACATGTAGTCTGACTCACCGGATGTAGGCTGCAGGTATCAACCTGCCTGTGACAGTTTTGTCTTTCACTTCTCCTTATCGGTTTGGTAACGATTTAAAAAATCCCCTTTACTAACGGCAACAGCCTCCAGGCTAGCAAGCTACCACACTGAAGAGATCACGTCATGAGGCAGCCCTGCTAGTTGAGCCATTTCAGTGACAGTGTTCATCTTCCTGCGTGGAAAAACATTCCACCTGTATTGATTCTGAGAAAACGCTGGAGCCACATCCCCTACGAAAATGGTGACATGAGCACTGCCAATAAAACAACGTGTCCCACTGAATGATGCAAATCTTTGGTAAACTAGGATTTTTCTTTTTTGGAGGTTGTGGTTTCCCGTAGCAGAGGTGTATTTAGAAAATGGTAACACACAGATAGGAGAAGTCTGAAAATGTGCAGTGAAAGTGGCTGGCTTAAACCTACATCGTGTGGATCAGACTACCCAGCAGACAACAGAGGCTTACAGGAATAAGCTACATCAGGTTGTTTTGGTCTATTAGGGTTTGTTAAAGATGAAAAAAAAAACATGCAATTTGCTGGCCTTTGCAGAAAAACTTCAGAAAACAAGATGCAAGTAGGTTATCCTAATGAAACCAGCAGTAAAAGTCTAAGTAGGAGAAAATAAAAAAGCCTTTAATGTATATATTTTTAATGAACGCAGCAATATGAAGCTCCTGACCTCGGCTTCCAGGAACGCCACCCGCTCCTCCAGATCCCTGATGACTCGGTCTCTCTCCTGGAGGACGGTCCGGGAGTTCTGCAGCTGAACAAACAAACACAAACAAACATGAGGAGGCGCTCAGGAGAAACGCTTTTCCTCCCCACCCAAGCAGATGCAGCATCACTTATTCATGACGAGCGAGATTTGTTTCACCGCACGTTTCCGCTTCGCTCCCCACCCTCGTCTTTGACGAATCAATTCTGCTTCATGTGTCCGCCTCCTCAAAATCTAATTTCCTCATTAATGGCTTCTTTTGTGGGCACCATGGAGCTCGTCTGCATTTTGTGTGCGTCACTTTGCACTTAAGAGCCGACCTGCTCGTGTGCCGTAAGTACCTGTTCAATCATGTGGCGGACTTTCCTCTGCTGACTCTTCAACATGTCGTCCAGGTGATGGATCTTCTCCTTCAGGACGGCCACCTCCTTCTCCAGCTCAGCACACCTGCAAACAAATATAGTAGACAATTCCATTTAAATTTATATGAAGTATTAAACCACTGATTAGTAGAAAAAGTTCCAAACAAGTTATTTTGAATTTTGACAAGAAGAAATGTTGGAAAGAAAGCTGATAGATAAAAAATTGAACACACTCACATTTAAAGATATATTTCTTTTATACTAAAGGATATTAAAGTGGAATTTAACTGCGTTACTTTCATTAAACCAACATCCAAACATATAAGATGCTGTATAGTGAGTTTTTTTTTTTTTTAAATAAACACAAAATCCTGTATTATTTTGTGTACCATCTCACCTTTTCTCACTCTCCTCCCCATCCTCTCTCTGTAACTTCAGCTGCAGCAGCTCCGCCTCCCCTGCAGCCAGCTTCTCTTTGAGGGTGCCGCTCTCGACCTCCATGCCCCCCAGCAGCCTCTGCAGCTCCTCCACCTGCTGATCCCTCTCCTCCGACCGCTCTTCCGCCTTCTGCAGCCGCTCCGACTGCTCAGCCAGACGGAGGCGATACTCAGCCGACTCCGCCTGCGAAGGGAAACAACGGAGTGAGAAACTGCTTTAGGGGGCGTCCAGAGATATCAAGGAGTGAAAGAAACACCTTTTTTTTTTAAAATGACAAGTTCAAGCTAGATAACAACAGAATATTCAAACCACTCTTCTGAAGGTTAATGCCCCTAAAATACTGTTATTAATCCCTACAATAACAAGTTCAAGCGGTGAAGTCTATAAAATGTGTAGAAGTTTTATTTAAAACATGTTTGATCGTCTGTTTTTTACCTAAGTGGACGTTTTTAAATAGAAACTTGGTGCCATTCCCAGATCTCTGCAGAAACTACAAAAAAACAAACAACAAAAACAACAAAACTACAAAAACAAAACTTAAGTTTAGGGTTCAAAGTTTTCTATATATTTTGGACATAATTCTATGTACAGTCTTAGCTATCTAAGTGGATATTATCAAGAATGATGGAGAAGATTAGGATGACTACATCTTCACGCTGTCTTTAATGGTCCTGCGATCAATGAAAAGCAGGAGAACGAGGTTGGGAGGAACGGTTAGGATGTATGGGAAAGGCTTTTTCTGTTTGTGTGCGTTTTTTTGTTGCTCTTCTCTATGTGCGCTGCCTTGGTTTATTATGTCAGGGGATTAGAGAGTGGGAGTGGAGTGGGTTGGTTGGAGAAAAGAACGGGATGTAGGGGAGAAAGACGATGTTGTGTTGTATCATGCTTTGCTGCTGTGACTATAATGATGCTTCCTTCTTTTTCTTAGACAAAGAATAAATGACTGCTCACAAAAAGCTAAACATTTTTACGCCCCTGTAGCACAGATGTTCCTGAAACTGTGCAGCATTGAAATGTCCCTCACTTAGCTGCATGTGCTGTATGTTAGCAGGACAACTTAAACCTTTTTATTTCTTATTCGTAAATGAATCCAACTTTTACAGGATGGTAACTCTAAAAAGGCTTTAGTCAAGTAAAATCATCCATCCATCATCTATACACCGCTTAATCCTCACTTAGAGACAGACAACCAAGCACACTCACATTCACACCTACGGACAATTTACAATCACCAATTAACCTCAATATGTTTTTGGGGGGAAGCTGGAGAACCCGGAGAGAACCCACGCTGCACGGGGAGAACATGGAGACTCCATGCAGAAAGATCCCGGGTGTCCTCACCAGGACGCCAACCAGTGACCTTCTAGCTGCGAGGCAATGATGCTAACCACCGAGACACCTAGCAGCCCCAAACTAAATCAAATATACTCAAATTACTGTCCTCTAAGTTAAGTTGCATTTTGCATTCGTTTCCATCCAGACATGACCTTTCAGATATAAAATGTCATCACTTAATCAGTTTATACTTTTATACTTGTGCGAACTTTGACCTCCGAGGCATTAAAAACCTGGGGTGTGTTCTAATGCTGATAACATTATACTGCATAATATGACAGGAAAAGATGCCAACTGTAGTCTACTAAAACTACCCAGACGTCCTACTGCACTACATCCGGTTGGATTTCTCAACATGCAAGTCGGCATGTTTACTGGTCACAGTCATCTCTGCAGTTACGTCACATACAGTGTACAGTATGAACAAGCTCGAGCCACCGACAGCCCATAAATGGCTCATTCAGACTTGAAGTAAAAGCTGCATTTTAATGGTGAAGCATGTCCCAATTAAACTGTACGTACTTTATAAGGGCAGTTACAGTGTTTGCAGTAGTGAAAAGAAAACGTTTGTGATTTCGAATGTCTGAGAAAGCGGTTTGTGTGCTGAAATCCCATAATGCAGTGCAAAAAGGACAAGAAAAAGCTGCTCAAAAATGTGAACTAACTATGGAGGAGCTTAAGGAAAACATTAAAAAACAAATAATTGCTGTTCTTCCTCTTATTTCAGTGTAATTCGCAG